TAGACATTAAACATCATTTTAGTTGAGATGCATTTAATATATCTAGAGTTGGATTTACAAATTTTGAGTCTTATTTTGAGCCTCAGAGTAGTAATCATTGATTTAGTTTAAAAGGAAAACCTAGATATAAACCATTTTTACCGAACGGTTGAAATGTCGTCGTTTAGGAACCACTTCCCCAGAAAATATTCTATTATATTCATTATTCTAGAGAATTCTCAAAAGAGAAGGAAAAGGCGCAATCCCGCGGAGATTTTCAACGGTTACGCGCTCAACAACAACTGGAAGAGGATTTACAGGTACTCTGAACACATTTTGTTTTATAAATTTAAATCTTAGGGGATATTGGGCTTTAAATTGATGTTTAATAATACATAAAGGGTTACTAATACTTACTAAGGATGAGATTTCAGAGACGACTGTATGGAATAGTCTCTGTCATTTCGACTTATATGTTTAATTCTCAGAAACTATAATCTTGGAATCGTTAAAGGGAGTGACCGGCAATGCATAGTGGTTGAACTGAATATGGAGTATTGTGGACAATTTTTTTGGGATTCAATTGAGACATAGAAAACGTTTCTACGACGTATATTTAATGAGTTTGAGTGCAAAGTCGATGTTCAAAATCATAAATTTGGGTGAGTATGTTTTCAGAACCGGTTTTTTTTTATTAAATAACGACGACAAAAAATGTAAACAAAATTCTACAGTAAACTTATTAATTGCTTAGGAACAGAAAATAAAAATTAACTCTTATCATCGAAAATAAGTAATCTTATTTAATTAATAGTTTTTTATAATCTCTCTTTTATCACAAAGATTTTCTGCAGATTTTCTGGAATTTTTAAGAAAAAGACGACATTTAAAGAATTTGAAGAAATCTGCAAACATTTTCATAGAAAATAAGAACAATGAAATTATGAAAACGTACCTACCCAAATTCATGATTTTGAACGTTGACTTTGCGTTCAAATTCAGTAAATATACGTCGTAGAAAAGTTTTAAAAGTCTGAAATTAATCCTAAACATTTGTCCACAATACTAAATATTCAGTTCAACCACCAAACATTGCCGGTCACACACCTTTAAATTAAAGAGTTTAGATCGTCTTCACAGTCTCATCCTTTATGGGTAACCCTGTCAGTGACGTAGACAGTGGCAGTTTAAACTCCAAGTCCTTATTATTTAATTTTTAACATTGGATTATTTAATTTATGAATATGTGAATGGAAAACTCAAAGGGTATGTTTGGGAGTAAAAACATAACTCAAGTGGTATGTTCAGGGATGTATAGATAAATCAAGGGGTATGTTTAAGGATATATAGGTAACTCAAGGGGTATGTTTAGGAATAAAAAGATAACTCAAGGGGTATGTTTAGGGGTATATGGATAACTCAAGGGGTATGTTTAGGGGTATATAGATAACTCAAGGGGTATGTTTAGGGATTTATAGATAAATCAAGGGATATGTTTAGGGATATATAGATAACTCAAGGGGTATGTTTAGGAATATACAGATAACTCAAGGGGTATGTTTAGGTATATATAGATAACTCAAGGAATATGTTTAGGGAGATATAGATGACTCAAGGGGTATATATGTTTAGGGATATATAGATAACTCAAGGGGTATGTTTAGGGATATATAGATAACTCAAGGGGTATGTTTAGGGATATATAGATAACTCAAGGGGTATGTTTAGGGATATAAAGATAACTCAAAGGGTATGTTTAGGGATATATAGACTGGATAACACAAGCTGAAGAGATGGAACAAAAAGAAGAAGATCTAGCGAACACAATCAAGGTAGAGTTCAACTCAGAAACCAATATGTTGAACAAAAAATCATAAGAACTTATTAAATCTGGTTTCAAGATTTTAAACATATTTTGATTTTGAATAATACGTGGTTTTAAATCATTCACATTGATATGACTTACAAGTACCACTATACGAGTACCAATATTTCTCCCAAGGTATCCATTCCATAGGTTTCCTTCAAATATTTGGTTCAGCCGACTGTCATTTCGACTTATATGTTTAATTCTCAGAAACTATAATCTTGGAATCGTTAAAGGGAGTGACCGGCAATGCATAGTGGTTGAACAGAATATGGAGTATTCTGGACAAATTTTTTGGGATTCATTTGAGACGTTTCTACGACGTATATCTAGTGAGTTTGAGCGCAAAGTCGATGTTCAAAATCATGAATTTGGGTGAGTACGTTTTCAGAACCGGTTTTTTTTTTATTAAATAACGACGACAAAAAATGTAAACAAAATTCTACATTAAACTTATTAATTGCTTAGGAACAGAAAATAAAAATTAACTCTTATCATCGAAAAAAAGTAATCTTATTTAATTAATAGTTTTTCATAATCTCTCTTTAATCACAAATTTTCTGCAGATTTTCTGGAATTTTTACAGTGAAACCCTTAATAACGAATACATCGAAAGAATTCATCAAATGTCGTATTCTTTACTTTCTGTTAATGGAATGATGCAGATATTTAGTTTTTTAATTAAATGATTATTTGGAACTCTTCAAAACTGTTCCCGCATATTCAAGGATATTTATTTATTTTCGCAAATACTGAAATTTACGTAATATAGTATAAAACTCATTGAAAAATTGTCAAGACGACATGTTTGATAAGTTCTTTCGATGTATTCCTTATTAAGGGTTTCACTGTATTAAAAAGACGACATTAAAAGAATTTAAAGAAATCTGCGAACATTTTCATAGAAAATAAGAAAAATTAAATAATTAATTCTAACTTCCATTTATTGACAAATTTCTTTTGATCATCTAATAAGTTTACTATGGAATTTTTACTTTACTTTTCGTCGGCGTCATTTAATAATTAAAAAAAACCGATTATGAAAACTTACCTACCCAAATTCATTATTTTGAACGTTGACTTTGCGGTCAAATTCAGTTAATATACGTCGTAGAAAAGTTTTAAATGTCTCAAATTAATCCTAAAAATTTGTCCACAATACTAAATATTTAGTTCAACCACCAAACATTGCCGGTCACTCCCTTTAAATTAAAGAGTTTAGGTCGTCTTCACAGTTTCATCCTGCCCTGTCAGTGACGTCGACAGTGGCAGCTTATAATATGTGAATGGAAAACTCAAGGTGTATGTTTAGGGTATTGATAACTCAAGGGGTATGTTTGGGAGTAAAAACCTAACTCAAGGGGTATGTTCGGGGATGTATAGATAACTTAAGGGGTATGTTTAAGGATTTATAGATAACTCAAGGGGTATGTTTAGGGATATATAGATAACTCAAGGGGTATGTTTAGGGATTTATAGATAAATCAAGGGGTACGTTTAGGGATATATAGATAACTCAAGGGGTATGTTTAGGGATATATAGATAACTCAAGGGGTATTTTTAGGAATATATATATAACTCAAGGGGTATGTTTAGAGATATATAGATAACTCAAGGGGTATGTTTATGGATATATAGATAACTCAAGGGGTATGTTTAGGGATATAGATAACTCAAGGGGTATGTTTAGGAATATATAGATAACTCAGGGGGTATGTTTAGGTATATATAGATAACTCAAGAGGTATGTTTAGGTATATATAACTCAAGGGGTATGTTTAGGGATATATAGATAACTCAAGGGGTATGTTTAGAGATATAGATAACTCAAGGGGTATGTTTAGGGATATATATATAACTCAAAGGGTATGTTTAGGAATATATAGATAACTCAAGGGGTATGTTTAGGGATATTTTGAGAACTCAAGGGGTACGTTTAGGGATATATAGATAACTCAATCGGTATGTTTAGGGATATATAGACTGGATAACACAAGCTGAAGAGATGGAACAAAAAGAAGAAGATCTAGCGAACACAATCAAGGTAGAGTTCAACGTGTATTGTAAAAGTGAAAATTCCAANAAAAAGTTGCATCAGTTTTCAAGCATGGGTCGACTTTAAAGTGGCCTTGGATTTTACCTTACTAACTCACTTGTTCTTTTTGTAGACCTTGACATGTACATGTTAAACTAAAAACCACTTGTTTTTATCTTTAGTTTGCAAGAAGTAATTGGCAAAATTTTAATTAATTTTTGCTTGCAAGAGCTTGAAACCGTTAGATGACTATGGGAGTGAGAACACCTGAAAAAGGGATTCATTAGTTTCGGCTTATCACGGACTTGACAGCTGAACAGACATGAAACCACAGAAAAAGAAATTGTTAAATTTCGACTTTTTTTTGTTTTCACCTTTTTTAGGTTGATTAACTCTTAACAAAAACATTTTGTTTGTTAGTTACTTATTTATTTAAAAGGTTTGCGGTCACACTTTTACCTTTCACGATGTTGCTTTTACAGGTCGATATTACAGCTTAAATAATGCATAGAGCGAGAGAAAATTTTTTCTTCTAATCTTTAGAATCTATGAGAATTCAATTTACATAAAACAATTTTTTTAGAAACAGTTCATTGTTAATTTTTTTATTGCCGGTGTACTTTTTTGGAGGCACTAAATTACGAGGTTTAATATACGCTTGCATTTTTTTAGGAACAAAAAGACGTGCCGCAGGCAAAATTTTATTAAGATAGATATTTTATTCCTGTTTTGCACTAGGTTTTCTTTCCATTAAGTGCTATTGAGAAGCTATTTTGAAATCCCAGGGATTTCAGGAGGGTGCGTCCTACCGTCCAAATTCTGGACAATTTACAATTTACTTTCTATTTTATTTTTCTTTATCAAGCCAAGCAGTTCAATAACTTTTCTTGTAAAACCGGGATTCAAGAAATTTTCAATTTTCTCCCATTTAAATTCTCAGGACAGAGTTTCCCAGAGACAACGCTTCAGAAATAGGCATTCTTTCCATGGATAAATATATTTTTTTTCTGTAAAAGTTTTAATCCAATTTTAGATTAATACAACGAATTTTTGGTGAGAAATTCAATTAAAACTGAGGCAAAAATAGAAAAAAATATTTATTTGCAAACTGTAATTTATCCTAATAACAAAAATTTGGATTAAAAAAGAAGAAAAAATGAGTTAGTTTCCCTTTTGTACACAAGTTTAGAGTGGCATATCCGATTCACAACGATATCTTGTCCTGATCAAGGATGATGAAAATATTTCTTTCTAAAAATTGAGTCTCTTAGTGACCCCTGTAGAATTGAAGGGACAGAGTGTACACGTCACTTTTCAGTGTGCACTGCTATTTCATAGAAAAAGAGGAGTTCTCTGTCGTTGATTGATCAGAGTCCGAATTTAATGAATTTTAACCGCATCTCAATCCGCCAAAAACCGGTTTCAAGCCGAGTCTCAAACTCAAGCCGCGGCTCAAATTCGGCGTCGGCCTTAGGATTAGAAAGTACCATTGTGAATCGAACACGCCCCTCCAAGTGTAGGGCCACTTTTAATCCCGTCAGGACATTTGGAGGAAAATGTACGCTAGATTCTGACGTGTGCATTTTGCTTAGTCAACTACACTGATCATTGTTACTAGTTGCAGTACGTGGAAAAGGGATATGAAAATAAACTAACATTTCGTGGGGGTTGCATTGGTTTATTCGTGGTCTATTTGGGTGAATTGTAGCTTTTTCTTAACCTTAATCATAAATAATAAAATGGTAGATAAGGACAACTTCTTTTCATAAATATACAGTGCTCCCCAAAATAATATGGTAAGCATAGACGACTGCTCATAAATATACAGTGCTCCCCAAAATAATATGATAAATGATGATTACTTTTCATAAATATAAGTGCTTCTTGAAAAAAGATTGCATATTAAAGAAAATTCGTCTTTACTTCACCATTTTATTACTGTATGTTACTGTAAATGGAAGAAGAAATAAGAAAAGAAAGAAAGGAAGAAAGAGAAAGTGAAAAAGAAGATTTATTTTGGAAAGCACTGTATGTTTATGAGCAGTCGTCTATGCTTACCATATTATTTTGGTGAGCACTGTATATTTATGAAAAATAGTCATCATTTACCATATTACTTTGGGGAGCACTGAATATTTAAGAGAAGTCGTCTATGCTTACCATATTATTTTGAGGAGCACTGTATATTTTTGAGAAGTTTTCAATGATTATTATTTTATTTTGGGAAGCACTGTAGTGTATATTTTGAAAAGTAGTCAATACTTACCATTTTATTTTGGGGAGCACTGTATAATTATGAGAAGTTGCCTTCATTTACCATTTTATCATGTACAATTAAGGTGAAAAAAAAGTTACAATTCTTTTTATAACCCAAATAGTCCATCAATAAAATCACCCCCCCCCTCCACGAAATGTTGGTTTATTTTCAAATCCCTTTTCCGCGTACTGCACCTAATAACAATGATCAGTGTAGTTGATTAAGCTAAATACACACGTCAGAATCTAGCGTACATTTTCCCCCAAATGTCCTGACGGGCTTTTAATTACGTCTACAGTCCCTTTAACTATGTACCTTGTACATACTCCAAAAGACAAACAGAAAGAACCCTCATAATTTTCAATTAAATGTCACGTCACTTTTAAGCCTTGTCAAACAAAGCCCGAGTTCAACAAAGCTTGAAAAAGTTGATCTAAATGTTTTTCTTAGATTCTTAACTTTTGATTGTTTTTAAGCAAAAACAATTCCAACATATTTAACTTTTCACCTCAAAACATAATTAGTTTGAAATTAGTTAAAATATTTTCTGAAATTTGAGATTATTTTGTGGGGAAAAAGTATTTCTGAGTTACTCTAATTTCTTGCTTTCTATAAGTAAAATTTAACAGACAAATGTCGTCCGTATTGAAGATCACATTTTCAGATTTTTGTTGAGGATGAATTTAATATCAAAAACATTTGTTTTCCAAGTTTGCACATCTTAAAATACAAGAAACTAACAATATCTTTAATTTTCATGCTAACAGAGGAAAAAGGTAAGAATAAATATAAACGAATTTGTTTGATTTTTTTTCTGTACACCAACAGTGATAGGTTACTCGGCACAGTTTTGATATCTTTTTTGTTACTTATTTATTTAGAAAAGATTTTTTTTGCATGCCCCTTAGATTAGAAAATTGTGCGGCAAATCTTCAAATCAGTTGATATCAGCAACCAGCCACCTACCACTGGGATTTGAAAATTTGGCGCGAAATAAATTGAAATGAAACTTTCAGTTCCTGTTACAGCAAACGTCAATGAAGGAGAGAAGCGGCCAAGACGACATCTGCGGCAGACAACGTGGCAGAAACGAATTAAGAACTTTGAAAAGTTAGTTTTAAAAATTGATTTTAATTTCAACGCAATTTATGCATACTCAAAAAAAGTCTTTTCTTGTCAGGGTAAATATATCTTTTATCCTGAAAGCAAATAGAAGATTGCGATTACATACATTTTTTGTAAATTAAGTTCTCTCTGGAACCTTTTCTATCTTTTTGTTTAAATTGAATTGATTCTTTATAAAGTTTTTTTTTTATTTTCGGGGAAAAAAATGTGTAATTTTTTCAGGTGGAACAGGAGTATGCGAAGACAAGCACGTTTGGTAAGAATAAATTTATTATAAACAAATTAATAAATAATTCTAGTTTTTTTAAAAATTAAAGTTAATATTAAATTCCCACTTTCTACAATTTTAATGATTAGCTGCAATTCTCAAAAAAAAAAAAATGAAAACCTTTTTTAAGGAATGTTTTTATGAAATATTTCACTTTTGTAATCATAAATATGCTACAGTATATCCCAATAGAAAACGTTATTTAAAAAAAGTTTATTGTCATCTTATTTATGGCATATACTGTATAAGAGCTTCAAAAATGGGGTAAGTAGGAGCTAAAAAGTTATTTCGATCTCTTGCTGTGATTTTAAGTCTAAATTTTGGATGCTGGGTAAATAAATAGAAAAGATAAGAAGTTAATAAATTGCTTTTAGAATGAAATTTAACACAAGGAGTATGATTGAACAAATTTGAAATATTAAATTTAATGATTTTGTGTCAATATCTTTGTATTCAGAAGAATTCAGAGGAAAAAATAGAGAAATAATTGAATTTAATGATTAATTTTTTCTTCTTCAAATTCTCAATTGTGTAAATTTATCTCAACTATATTTTTTCCTTTAGGTTTGTAAATCCCAGGCGATGTTCTGGCTGATTATCTGCCTTGTTTTCCTTAACACTTGTGTTCTAGCCACAGAACATCATAATCAGCCCCCTTGGTTAGATGATTTCCAGGTATATACAGAACACCATAATCAGCCCCCTTGGTTAGATGATTTCCAGGTATACAGAACATCATAATCAGCCCCCTTGGTTAGATGATTTCCAGGTATACAGAACACACAGTCAGATGTTGAACCTTGATAGCAGATCCTTTAACTTTTGCAATTACAAAAAACTAAATTTTTACAACTTTCTTATTACAGACATGTTAGATTAAATGAAATTGCTCGCGATTAATTTCGAATTAAATTCTGATTTAGCTCCAATACCCCTTTTCACGTGTTACGAAAACTCCCTTTAAGAAAACACTTTAATTAATTATAATTACCCTCTCAATGCTCTTTAGTAAGTAGGACATTAAAGCTATGATTATAATAAAAATTAAGGTAAGTTATCAACACAATTTATAACTGGAAGCAATATAAGAAAATTGAAGCGAATGTTGGTATAAAAGATTTGTAATGTTTTTCTTGAAATTCTATTTTCCGTTTAGAATAATTTATACCACAAAATAAAATTTAATAACAATTCTGTTAGCTTTACAGAGTTAACAGACTCCAGCAAGATCAAAATAAAATATTCACTTATTTTTCCTTCCAAGTTTGTTTCATTGTAATTTATACATTTTTTTTATATTTCAGGAGTACACAAACCTGTTTTTTGTAATTTTGTTTACATTTGAAATGTTGCTCAAAATGTATGCCCTGGGTCTCTCTGGATATATGGTCTCCCTGTTCAATAGGTATAACCTCAGACCCTCTATTAAAAAATATATTTTTGATTGATGGACTTTCTATATTCTTCTCTGTAGAAAGTTAGAAAGGAGTCAAAAATTAGATCAACAGAACATATAGAAACCGTTAGGTACAGCAACAAGGTGTATATTTCTGAGAAAAATAAATTGTCCCTGACATGCATAATGTCCCTGACATGCATAATGTTCCTGACATGCATAATGTCCCTGACATGCATAATGTTCCTGACATGCATAATGTTCCTGACCTGCATAATGTTCCTGACCTGCATAATGTCCCTGACATGCATAATGTTCCTGACATGCATACAGAGTTCCCCCTGCATACAGTTCCCCCTGCATCTTCTGAAATGTCCCTTTTCTTGTTTGCATGTTCTGCAAGTGCTGTCCGTTAGTGTCCACGAGAAAGTTTGCTGTAATAAATCAAACTAATAACATTCATAATCATTTTACTATCACATTCCTTTATGTCCAGGGTATGTTGAAAAGAAATAATGATAATGTTTTACAAAAGAGTTTAATATCTCTAAAATATAAAAAGTATTCTCCCGCAAAGTACGCCTTGTTGCTTTACCTAGTGTTTTCTATACGTTCTGTTGATATAATGTTTGACTCCGTTACAAATATATCTAAACGTTAATATATAACAGAATTTGATTTCTTACCACGAACTTGGATTTTCTAATCACTATATCTTTGCAACCCAATGTCGTAGAGCTTATCTCTTTCAAAACTTGAATTCTGTTAAATCAAATAATCTAAGTTTGGAATATAAAAGGTTGCAAAGATGTATGGCTAAGAAAATTTTAATTTGTAGCTAAGACTCAATTCCTTTTGCACGATTTTGAAACAACTAGATATTTGTATCAACATCGTTATGGTTTACTGCAGTGAGCAACAGAATACTGTGGAATAAGTAGAGAACCTTTATACTCAACCTAGGATTTTGAATACTCCAATGAACATTAAACACAGAAATTTTGCTGTATATGTACACAACCCCATTTCTTTTAATAAGAGATTTCAACGCTGTTAGTAAAATTATTCACTTTTTAACAACATCTAATAAATATAAGATGCCTTTAATGTCGTCTTCCTATTTCATAGTAATATGATGTTCACTGTAAATAAATCCAATTAATGATGCAGGGTAAAAATTTTTATTTTTAATTAGTTTTTAAGTTGTTTTGAGCCGAAAACTTCTAAATGAGTCGGGTTAATCTTCACAATCTTAACTAATGGATTTTTTAATATCGAAAATTAAACTTTCCAGAACTCTTAGTCGGCCTAATTAAAAATTTAGCGACCTCTAAAATTTCAATTAAAAAAGATTTTACAAGAATCGAAACGAAACAAATCTGATCTAAAATTATTTCAATTTAAAAAAAATAACTTGTTTAGGTTTGATTTCTTCGTTGTTGTGAGTTCTATTCTTGAGTTTGTTCTTGTAAACCAGGCGAGGGGATCAATATATTCAAACTGGGAATCTTTAACGCTTCGCGGCCCTCTTAAAGGGACTGCAGACGTAATTTCAAATGAACCAGTATTTTCAAAAATGGCATGTCCGATTCGCAACAATACCCTTCAAACATTGGCTGATCAAGGATGTTTTAAATATAAGAATGTAAGAAATCTCGGGAAATATGCGAAGTAATTTGATTTGTATTCCCCTGAATAGATTTTAGCTAGAAACACACGAATTTCTCCACTGTGGCTGATCAGCGAAAAGGAATTGCGCATTGTACTGCAGGAAAATATTTAAGAACTATCAGAATTAAACACGGTTAAATCTAGAGAAACAAATCTTCCACATTTTTTATCCGTAAAAGGTTTGTTGAAGGGTATTGCTGTGAACCTTTTAATTCTTACTTTTTATTAACAATTCACTTCAGCCGCCCCATGTAAGGTTAGACACAAATTGGTGACGATCACTGTTTCAACTTTTAGTTGATACAAAAAGAACAAAGCAAAAAAAATAAATACATGTAAATTAAAATAAACATTAAAAATACATTCATGTAGAAAAAATTGAAAAAATGACAACCTTGCTCTAAGCAAAGTATGGTTTAATTAATGGGAAAACAAAAAGGTTTGTATAAGATAAAGGAATTGAGTCTTTGCCACAAACTCATATTTTCTAATTTCTCTATCTTTGTAACCAAAGGTCGTAGACCATAGTTATTTCAAACTATGAATTCTGTTAGATCAAATAATCTAAGTTTGAAATATCAAAGGTTTACAATTACATCATCAGGTTCCAAAGATATAGGGGTTAGAAAATTGAGTTTGTGGCAAAGATTCAATTCCTTTCACATCATTATCAATTTTATGTTCGCTTTTTATATAGTGGTTGGCGCTTTTATCAATACAATGAAGACAACTTTTCTAAATAGGTTTTTATTTTCTGCAAGAATTTTTTGTAAGTACAAACATCAAAAGAATCTGTTCATTGACAGCTTCTATTGGTTTCCATTTTATGTGGATCCTGTTTGAAACCTTGGTAGAAATCAAAATTGAAATAGATTTGCGTCTTTATTATTTTGATATGTTCGATACACAAAGCTATAAGTAAATCCTAGTATCATCGAGACGATTTGGAAATTGTCAAATTATAAAATTTGATCCCCTTGTGTTAGCAATTAATGCCTCCACTTGGGATGTCCGTCCTGCGTTGTATTCGTCTTCTTAGAGCTTTCAAAGTTACGAGGTAAAATTTTCTTTTTTAAATTTGTTTTTTAACTTTCAGATGTGTAATACTTAATAATTAATAATTTATAAGTTTGGAAACTTGGGAACCCAGCTTTTGCTGGTAACTAAGTTTTACCTATCAATTCAATCACCTAAGAATATTTAATGCAAGATAAGATCCTTCCTGTGGTTCCAACATGTTCCCTTATCAAAATTTGAGGCAAATTGGTCCAGTGGTTTATGAGTTTAGATCTGACATACAAACAAACAAACCGAGATTACTACTTTATATATATAGATATTGGTCCTCAATGGGAAACCTGGTGAAAAGTTTGGTTAACTCTATAGCGTCCATCAATGCACTCCTTGTCCTTCTTGTACTTTTCATCTTCATCTTTGCACTCCTTGGGATGCAAATATTCGGTGGCAGGTTTCAGAACGAAGAGTCTAGAAGCACATTTAACAGCTTTTCACAATCCTGTTTAACCGTGTTCCAGGTAGAGGAGAGAGTGGTTTGGTTTGGTTTGTTTGGTTTTAAATTTCTCAGAGCCTGCGATTTAAAATATGGGTGAAAATAAACTCAAGACTAAGCTGTCAAGTCATAAATACTAATTTAAGACTCAAGCAATGGGATAAGTTCCAACTAGTTTTCCACAGAGTTGGGTTTATGAAACCGGTTTATAATTGTATTTGGGGGATTTTCATGGTTAGAATTTGCAGATATCGGGATTTGATTTACAAACCTAGGTCGGTTGTATTTTCATCGGGCCTATAACTACTTAAGTGGAGTTTAAGGACTCGCATTTGATAATCACTTGACACAAGCTGTCGTCAGCTGATTCTTCAGTTAAGTCTATAGGAATTAAACCCCGAGTTAAAGCTTTTAAAACGTGGGCTCTGCAGCATTTTCTTCATACATCGGGAAATCATAGCAAACAATTGGTGTTCATGAATTTTTTAAGTGGTAGGTTAAACCATATTTAATGCAAAACTGTAGGAAAAAAATGCAGTTTTGATCCAATCTGTAAATAAAAGTGCTTTGAGGGGTCTCCTTCAATTTTAAGCTTCGTTTCTTTAGAGCCTGCATAGAAGAGAGATAAACTTACAAAACCTTCCCCTTTGAAAATTCATGAAACGGCGCCTGGTTTTTTTTATCCTGTTGTGCAATCATGATAATATTATAAATTTGTGTTTTTATCCCTTGTCGCATGTACCTCGTTTCATCAATTTTTAATTCGTTTGTCATAATTTTTACAGCATGATTGTGAGAATCAAGTCAAATATATTTAAGACTAATATTTGACCGAAATATTCAGATTGATTCGCAAAAATTTGTTTAAAAGCGATAATTTGTATTTATTTTTCAAGAAAGACTAACAAACACTGCTTTGCTTACGTAAAAAAAACTGTTTTAAATATCAATACATTTTACATGTAACTACACAAGGAGAAAACAAAATATTTCTCCGTCTCTGCAAGAACTAAACAAATCATTCAAAGTTTGAGAGGCAATATAAACACGATAATAGGTTAAAACTTTGAATCTACAGCTTAAAAAATATTTAAATGCATAAAGTGCTTTAATGAGGGTCGAACTTGAAACTAGAATGTTAACACGAAGTATTAACTAATTTTTAGGTTAATCGTAGCCAACTTATTTAAAGAAAACAAGGTTATTTATCTTTATGTTAAAGGTAAAAAAGAATCACAGTTTTTTCTTTTAAAGATTTTAAAATGGCCAATTGAAAATAATATCCCAATTTTTGGAATTTGCAGGAACAAAAAATGCAGTCTCCCCCATCTAAGATGTTTAAATTTGAAAATTGATAAAATGATAAAACATACATTTAAAACGATATTTTACCTAAGTAAGAAATAAGCGAAAAATTTAGTAAAATTATACAAAACTAGCTGAAGGGCCCAGCGTTGCCCGTGGAAAAAAAATTGTTGAAACAAAAATTTCGATTTTTTAGCCTATAACACCCCCGCCGCCCATGAGTGTCCACAAAAAATTTCAGCCCAATCGGTCCAGCCGTTTGGCCGGCTATGCGCAACATATACGAACCTATTTTTTTATTATTTAGATTCATGTGAAAATATTTTATTTGTTGCAAAAATATGATTTTAGTTTCGATTAATCTCGTTACTAAGTTTTATGCATTCTAATTAAAATATATTTTTTCTATTTGTGAACAATAAATAATTTCTTAATTGAAATATTTGTTTTACTATATTAAAAGTTAAACTGCCTTTTAAAATCAGAAATACTTATGAGGAAGTTCGGTTATGGCTGGTGGAAATACAGAGTATATTCGAGTGTGGAGATTCAATTCTGTTGACAAAATTAAATATTTTATCATTAAATTAATTTGCGGCAATACCTTACAAGATAGAAATGAACCTTTAGACAAAGGGTGTTCACTGTTCAACCCTCACGGCCATACAATTAAAAATCAAAATTGGGTCTTTGGCGAATAAGCCCCACCTTCCCCTCCTCCCCCCTCCCCTCGACACACACACTGTAAACTCCTGTAAAAAAAATCCCAAAGATTAAGACAATTTAGATACAATTTTGAAACAACAAAGTTAAAGCTTCATGAATTCAGAATTTAACAAAACTGCACAATCTACGCAATAAAGAAAAGCAGTTTTTCTTAAACAGAAAAGAGGGTTTGGAATGGATTTTCCATATTTTTAGGATCGAACCATATTTCTTTTTCCATTCCTTCATTTAGTATATTTTGATTATAAACCGTGGATTTCTGAATTTTCAATTATTTCGAAGTATCGAATAAATTGAAAATTTGAATTTCAATGAATTCTGTGAACATCATAGAACTGCCAATATAGAATGCTGCTGAAAGGTTAGATATTTGCGAGAAAATCAATCCCTAGTCTCCTTCTGCTCTTGTAATAATTAGAGCTTTTAAATTCATTGAAATAACAGTGGCCATTTTCATTATACATTACACACTAAACTAAGCTCTGGGGTAGGTTAAATAGGCCATAGGCCGGGTACTGGACGCGCAAAGTTAAAACCAGGCATCTCTTCTTCTTCTCCTTCTACTCTACATTGCAGGGAATTCAGATTAATATTTTAAACTGGAAACATTTAGCTAGAAGCCCTAGCTTTTTCCACGTAATTTAAAACATTTTCTTCATAATATCGAACATTTTCTTCGTAATACCGAACATTTTCTTTTTAATACCGAACATTTTCTTCATAATACCGAACATTTTCGTCGTAATATCAAACATTTTCCTCATAAAACCGAACATTTTCTTCGTAATACCGAACATTTTGCTCGCAATAATTAACATTTAGTTCGAAATACTCAATATTTTCCTCGTATAACTGAACATTTTCTTCGTAATAACGAACATTTTCTTCGTAATAACGAACATTTTATCATAAAATTGAACATTTTCTTCATAATACCAAACATTTTCTTCGTAATAATGAACATTTTCATCATAATAACGAACATTTTCTTCATAATACCGTACATTTTCTTTGTTTAACCGAATATTTTCTTTGTAATACCGAACATTTTCTTCGTAATACTGAACAGTTTCTTCGTAATACCGAACAGTTTCTTCGTAATACCTAACATTTTCTAGTCGTAATAGCAAACATTTTCTTCGTAAGACCAAACATTTACTTCGTACTACCAAACATTTTCTAGTCGTAATACCGAACATTTTCTTCGTAATACCGAACATTTTCTTCGTAATAACAAACATTTTCATCGTAATATCAAACATTTTCTTCATAATACCGAACATTTTCTTTGTAATACCGAACATTTTCTTCGTAATAACAAACATTTTCATCGTAATATCGAACATTTTCTTCAGAATACCGAACATTTTCTTCGTAATACCGAACATTTTCTTCGTAATATCAAACAATTTCTTACAATACCGAATATTTTGTTTGCAGTAACATTTTGAAAATAATCAACCTTCTATAAAGAGTACCGTTGTGGATCGCAATTGACATTCTTTAAATGGAGAGTTACTTGAGTCTTTTTTCCCTTTAAATGAAAAATTGCCAACTTTAAGCTCATGAGTCATGAGTCATGATTTACTTTGGTCGACATGAGGAAATCTAAAACTTACTCTTTATTCTGTAAAAAGTGTTTGGACTTTTGGGCGGTCAGATGTTCGGGGGAAGGTTCGAGAATCCTTCGAGTCGGGCTAATTTTGACAGCTTCATTAATTCTTACCTTGCAGTGTTTCAGGTTATTCATGTCAGTGTACAGGGTAACCAACAAAGGATGAGACTTGCAGGGAGTGTTCGCGAAAAAAAAATCATTTATCGTTAACACTCCCTTTAATGAGGACCAAAAACTGTTTAAATCTAAAGGTTAAATGTGTCTTTATGTGTAGAAAATAGTATTTTAATGATTCACTAAATAATTTGGCAAAGAAAACACTGGTTTTATGGGAACCAGAATTGTAAGAAAAAGTACCGGCTTGTCTCTTAAGTCTCATCCGTTGTGAGTCCCTCAGTAGTTCACAATATTCACTTTAAATTCCAGACACAACGGATTTTACATAGTTAAAATTATAATTATTCTTATAAGTAAATTAAGGTTGGAACTGTTGGTTAATATAGCGCTAATCCCCTAGACATTTTCCCTAGTGGCAATTTCCCATGCAGCAACTTCCCAAGCCTGTCATAGCCGCAGCGTTCGGCCCCTGACATGTTTTAGCCGCAGCGCTCGGCCCTCATTGCAGCCTGCGGCGGCTCAGAAGGCCTTACCTAACCTTTGGGAAGTTGTCGCTTGAGAAATTGCACATTTGGGAAGTTGCCACTTGGAAACTTGTCACTTGGGAATTTATCCTTGGGAAAATAACTAACATCATCTACAATGTTAGAAAGTTGAACTTGATTTTCACTGTGGGGTATTGATGTTCCTACAGTTGGTTGGTTTTTGGTTCGTTTTAGTCTATATTTTCTTTTAGGGTCAAAGTTTGGCATAGAAAAATAAGAGAAAATGTGTTTCCATTAATTTTAGGATAAAGCAATTGCAAAGTTAAACTAAAGTTTTATTGATTATTTTTTAAGACATCCCAGAATATAAAGACTACTATGGGTACTATCTTAAAGAAAAGATTAAAGTTTTGGCTTTTTACATACTTTTGTGATATTTCGTTGACTCTAGAAATATGTAAAACAAATTTACTAAAATGTGCTTTTTGCAAAAGTTAACCATCAAAAGTTCCGATCTTTGTTTTAATTTGATCTGTTTAAAAACAAAGCTTCATTAAATCTTTCTCATTTAAAAATGTCATAAAAAGTGTAATGTATACTTTTCATTTATTCAACGGTAATGAATAAAATTACTAAAATTGAAAATAAGTTTTTAATTGACATTTTTACAACTTTTTACTGTCTGGTGTTTAAATTAGTTCTCTTTAGTTTTGTTAGATAATTTGAAATATCAGAGAATTTAAGTTTTCATGTTATATAGACACCGGACATTTATGTAAGCACAGTAATACTTTGTTAGACATACATATCATTTATAAATGTTAGACATAAATATCACATTTTTATCATGCTAAATATTACATCTAAAAAGAGGGAATATTTATAAGATAACAGCATATCAGAACTATTAATTACATAAAAAATATCTAATATTTAGAAATGAGACAAATCATGATAGAATTTGAGAAAATAATGTAATAGGGAGTATCACAAATAACAAATTATCATTTTTTACACCTGACTGCACTGTTTTAAATTTTTTTTTTTTTTTTTTTCTTGTGGTTTTTAAACATTTTGTTAATACTGATCTTGATGGNTGAGTAGGCGGGAACCTTAAATTTCGCGAAATTACTGTGTAATTTTGCGTTACCCTAACGATTCGTTAGAACGGACGAGGGTTAACCCAGACCGAATTATTTTTTCAATAAAATGTGGAACTAACATTTACTTTATTAACTCTATAAGGTTTGGTCCATCACCATCACACAATTTTAAATATTTAATTTGGTTTGCAAATTGCATGCATACAAGAATAGGATCAACTAAAAATTTTAAACTAATACACTTTTATCAATAACAGGATTATTCAAATCCCGAGCTTGGAACTTTTAAATGGACGAAACGGATTAAGCAATCATAATCTTTGCAAGGGTTGAGCCCATTTAAAAGTTCCAAGTTAACTCAAGGTAAGGAAACCATGGTTTGTTTTTACCTCTCTTATACTGCATGCCTAAGATTCTAAATGTTTTTCTTTAAATTTTGTTGTTGTACACAAAAGTTAACAGATATATAAAGTTAGTTTAACACTGAGGAGAACAGCCAACAGGGCAATTTTCGTGACTCCCTTCTAATTTTGTTAATTTGACTTTTTAAAGTTCTGACTCCAATAATCTAGATCCTTGGTACTTGATAATCTTCTTCATAGTTACTCAGATAGAGCTTTTACTGTTGTAAATCTGACATGCCACTGATTAGCTAAAAAAGGGCCGGGTAACTTGTAATTAAGTTTTTTTTATAAATTCTGAGATTTTAATTATAGTTTACCAATTAAGTTATTGAAAAATAAGAAAACTTGATTAGAAAACTTGATTAGAAAACTTGATTAGAAAAGTCGTCATCATTGCATTGAACTAAACGCCAACCACTAAAGAAACCCTAATTTTTCTTCTCATAAAAAATTATTAATTTATTTTCAGGAATAAAGGGAATGGGAGCCATAGCTAGCTTGTATTTCATAATTCTGTTTGTGACTGGTAACTTTATTCTGTTAAACGTTTTCCTCGCTATTGCTGTGGACAACCTCTCTACCGAGGACGACGACGTGGAGGTCGAGGAGGAGGCTGAACCTCAGAACCTCAATGGGAAAGAACCACCTCCAAAATATTCTCAGGTATACAGGGGGCCCAAAAAGACAGGGATTAGCGTTTTTGAGTCTTTTTCAATGACTCAAAATTTTGAGTGCTCCAGTTTTAATTTTATATGCTTAATTTTAAATGCTCCAGTTTTAATTTTATAAGGAGGGTCGTTTAAGTAACAATTTGTAGTTTGATGCTTCTGTTTAGCGTAAAACTATGTCAAATGTTCGAAAACCTCGCTGATAACTTTGAAAACCCGTAATTCCTGTGTTTTTTGGACCATCCTGTATAGTGCATGGTAAACAAGAAGTCCTGGTAAAAAGTCCGATGATTCTTAATTTTTTATCTATTTTTAACCAGGTGAAAGTAAATATTTCTTATTTGCTAAATCAAATTGTTTTTAAGTTATAAGTTTTTTAAATTTTTTATATGAAGTCTCTTATTCTGTTTTTGATGGATTTTGAATGAAAGGTAAAAATTGTATAACTGCTAATATACCGATATAGTCGGAATGCACTTCACGGATTTCACGTCAAACTAAAGTAAATTGAATGTAAAAATAAAATCTGAACTTTTGATTTGTTCACAAGATGCGCACATGCTGCTCCCAACTCCCTTGACAGGAATTAAGTCTTTGCCACAAACTCAAGTTTTGTATTCCTATATCTTTGCATCCTGGTGGTGTAAACTTAGATTATTTGATTTAAAAGAATTCATAGTATGAAATATCTAAAGTCATGACATTGGGTTGCTAGGATATAGAAATCAGAAAATCAGACTCATTTCCTTTACTATGATATGCGCTAATTACTACCAACAGTTCTTATCTTAAATAAACTTTATATATTGTGAAGAGTTTTCTGGATTGATGATGCGGCGTTTCTGTTATTTTTTTGCTGTGCAATCAGATGTTTTGTTCAGGATGATTCTAAAATTCAAATACTGGGAGACCTTGAAGATGACATAATGGAAGATATCCCGCCAAATATTCCACTCAAGGTAAACCGCAATTTTCAAAGTTTCGCGGATTTCTGAATTACAAATTCTAAAATTTTCAAAGAGATAAAAAGATGGTATGATGAAGAGGTACCTGTGTCCTGTATATGATTATTATAATTATTATGTATGTCGGATATAGTAGATGAAGAGGTACCTGTAAATGATTATTATAATTATTATGTATGCAGGATATGGTAGATGAAGAGATACCTGTATATGATTATTATGATAATTATGTGTGCAGGATATGGTAGATGAACAGGTACATGTATATGATTATTATAATTATTATGTATGCAGGATATGGTAGATGAAGAGGTACCTGTATATGATTATTATAATTATTATGTATGTAGGATATGGTAGATGAAGAGGTACCTGTATATGATTATTATAATTATTATGTGTGTAGGATATGGTAGATGAAGAGGTACCTGTATATGATGAAGATGATTCACCCAACTCAGTTCCACCAATTCCAAGCGGATCCTCATTCTTCATCTTTTCATCAACTAATCCGTAAGTTTATGCTTTTGGGGGTAAATTTAAAGGGACTGTAACCGTAATTTCAAGTGATCCTCCATGCAAAAGGTGGCAATGCCCGATTCATAAGTACCCTTAAAAGTTGTGTCTGATAAAGAATGAATTAGATATTAATATTTATAATTTTGGAAACTAATTTATTTCAATTTTGAGTGCTCTACAAAAAGTTTTCAAGATAAAGGCTTCAAGGGTTCCGTTGTGAATAGGAGATTGCCATCTCTAGCATGAAGGGTCACTTGAAATTACAAAATACAGTCCCTTTAAGAAAGCACAGATTTTTTTTCTAAAATTCGGAATTAACGAAGATACAGACACATTTTAATTTATTTTAATTTATTAAATAAATCGAAATTGTTTAACTTCTAAAATTAAACCTATTTATATTCATCAATAATTGAATATTTTTTCTGGAATATTTTTATTCCCAAAAATGTACCGTGTACGGTCTACCAATGATACGATTTATTACGCTGTGTGTCTAATTTTCTGCAGTGCAAAAATTGTTGTTAATTCTGCTGGCTAAGATGTTATCTTGAAGATAAAAATGATAAATTACATTTACTATTGATTAAGAAACCTTTCACAAGCTTTTCATACCGCTATCTATCCACCTTTAAAATATCTTGGCTTGGTAAATATAGATCAAAAACACAAATTTAGCTCGCCAAAAACTCGGATTTCCTAGTCTTTGCAACTTGAAATTGAATATCATTGATTTCTCTAAACTTAGACTATTAGATCAAAGTTTTAGATCAAAAAGTCTAAATTTTTAAACTTAGCTTTGAAGAAATTAAGCAACTAAGAAATTGTGAGGCTAGGAAGGAGAGTATTTAAAAATGGTCTGGCTAAGATGATGAAATCGTCCGGCATAAGGAAAAACAGAAGAAAATGGTTTTGCTAGGAGGAGAAACATTTAAAATGGTCTGGTTAGCAGGAAAAGCAATTAAAAATGGTCTGGCTAGGAAACAAATTAGATAAAAATGGTCTGGCTAGGATAAAAAGCAGTTCTAAATGGTCTGCCTAGTAGGAAAAGCAGATACAAATACAATGGTCTGGCTAGGAGGAAAAGAAGATAAAAATGGTCTGGCTAGTAGGAAAAGCAAACAAAATGGTCTGGCCAAGAGGAAAAGCAATTAAAAATGGTCTGGATCATAGGAAAATCAGATAAAGATGGTCTGGCCTAGAGCAATAAACAAATTAAATTGGCTAGATTTTTGTCTGAAATTAAATATAAAGATAAATGAAAACATATAGGTAGAACAAGAAAAATAATAATATATTTAAGTCAGAAGCCTCCGAAAAGTACAATTGATACCCATAGAATTTAAGAAAAAATGCTTACGAAAGTGTTTTGACTATGTTCTGGACAGTTTTACAATAAAAATCTCGGATTTACATTATTTTTTACCGGCATTTAGGGAGTGACCGGCAATATATGGAGAATGTAGTATTGTGGAGATTTTTTAGATATCATTTAAGACCTATGAGACGTTTTACGGTGCATATTAGTTCAGCAAGACCGCAAATTAAATATTTAAAATCCTCATAGATTGTTTATTTTTGAGGGATGATCTCGAGAATCAGTTTTTAAAAAAATTATTCAATAACAATGACAAAAAATGTAGTAAAAATTTTACATTAAACTTTGTTTAGAAACTATAAGCTGAGAAAATAAATATTAACTTTTATCCTCGAAAATAAGTAATCTTATTTGATTTTTGGTTTCTGTAATGTTTCATTGTTCACAAACATTTAATGTAGATTTCATGGAAATTACGCTTTTTATCGCCGTTATTAGATAAATTTTAAAAAATCGATTCTGAAAACGAACCACCCAAATGGATGATTTTAAACGTCGGCTTTGCGCTTAACCTGGTAAATATAACATCATTAAAAATTTTTAATGTCTCAAATTAATCATAAAAACTTCTTCACATTACTCAGTTCTTAGTTCAACTATCATACAATGCCAGTACCGTTCACTCCCTTTAAAAAGTATTAAAATTTTGCACCAATTTTAAATCATCAAATATGAATAAAGTTGTTTAATAATTTGTGAACAATCTTATTACTTTATTTATTGATACTTCTTGGCTCTGAAATATAATTTCAAGGCTAGAAATAAGTTTAAATATTTATAAAACATATTCTATCCTTCCTTCAAGTTTAAATATTTATAAAATATATTCTATCCTTCCTTCAAGTTTAAATATTTATAAAATATATTCTATCCTTCCTTCAAGTTTAATCTCGAAATATAATCCTGTTTAGGTAAAGCTAAGGATGGGAGTTAGGGAGGGATTAAATGAAAATGGTGGACTCAAATAATGCTCCGGGGCATACTTTGCTCTTTACATTAAAATAATGAAGATAGAAACCGAATAATATAAAACCATTGTTCGGGTAGAACAAGAAAAACTCTGCCACAAACTCTGATTTTTAAATCCTTATAACTTTGCAGCCCTAGGTCATAGACCTTAGATATCTTTAACTATAAATTCAGTAAAATCACGTGGTTTAAGGTTTATACTATCAGGTTGCAAAGATAAAAGGATTAAATTTTCTGGATTCCGTGTTATGTACTGAATTAAGGATATCTGTATATTCTAGGTTCCGTGTAATGCACCTTGGATACAAGGATATCTGTATATTCTAGGTTCCGTGTAATGTATTAGATACAAGGATATCTGTATATTCTAGATTCCATGTAATGTACTAGATACAAGGATATCTGTATATTCTAGATTCAGTGTAATGAACTGGATACAAGGATATCTGTATATTCTAGGTTCAGTGTAATGTATACTGGATACACGGATATCTGTATATTCTAGACTCCGTGTTATGTACTGGATACAAAGATATCTGTATATTCTAGGTTCCGTGTAATGTGTTGGAGAATACAAGGATATCTGTATAGTGTATATTCTAGGTTCCGTGTAATGTACTGGATACACGGATATCTGTATATTCTAGGTTCCGTGTAATGTGTTGGAGGATACAAGGGCATCCAGTCTGTGGAAATATAATCCTTGTTTGTATCCTGGTCTCATCAAGCTTCCTAGCCTGTGAAGATCCACTCCGAGCTAAATCAGAAATTAACCAGGTAAAATATTAGACCCTACGCTACGAGTAACGAGTTTCAAATCTACTCTATAACGATTTACGGTTCACTGACAGAGGGTCAAACGAATTAGGGTAAAACGACCTAGGGTCTAACGACATAGGGTCAAACGACAAGGTTAGGTTAAGACAATGTCTGAGCCGAGCACTGCGACTAGGATGGGCTAGGGGGCCAAGCGCTGCGGCCTCTTAAGTATCAAATAATGTGCTTTCTCTAAAAAAATAAGTTTGCCCGTTTACCGCTCTTTTTGACCCTATGTCGTTTTACCCTTGGTCGTGTTAATGTCGTTTTACCATTGGTTGCGAATTATTGACCCTGTGTCGGCTTTGTTTTTGGTTCTTCAATGCGTTTTTGATTAGATAAAGGTTTCCGGGTACCGTTGGGAATCGAGCATTGACAGCTTCTAATGAAGGGGAGTCATTTGAAATTATGTTTTTAGTCATTGCATGAGAAATAATTAATCCAGGTGTACCAAATGGGCATTTTTATGAAAAGTTTACATTTCTAAAAATACTAATACAAATTATTTCAGACGCTAGGCCTGTTTGATTACTTCTTTACAACAGTGTTTACCCTGGAGTGTACCTTGAAACTCATCTCCTACGGTCTTTTCTTCCATGAAGGAGCTTTCTGCAGACAGGAACATTTCACTGTACTTTTTAATAGGAAACCAGAGCCGTAAATTTAAGAGAGTATCGTTTGATGAAGGTGAGGAAGGCCAGCCACAACTATTTCTCATCCGAGCCATATTCTCCTCATTTTCTTGTCCGAGCCACCTCGGAATCCACGTCTTTCGATTATTTTGTGTTAAAAAGTTTCCAATTCTTGAAGATAAAACTATTTTTGAAAAATCTGGCCACGTTAGGGCAAAAATATGGATGTACTAAAGTATTGCAATGATTATATCATGTTGGAATCTTCAATCCTATGAGAATGATGTCAAACTCTTCTGCCTCCAAAATTGCTGACCTTCGTGATATAAAATAAATAGCAAAATTTTCGGTATATATATATGGAAAAATTCTAAGGTTTTCTCTATAGTAAACAAAAAAAGATTGAAATTCTATAAACTTGAAATCTTTAGTTTAATTGAAACTTTTTTATTCGATTTACATAAATTTGATATTTCATTTATGCCCTAACGTGGCCCGATTCTTTAAAAATAGTGTTATTTGGGAGGATTGGACACTTAAAACAATAATATTGAAAGAACTAGGATTTCGAGGTGGCTCGGACAAGAAAATGAGGAGAATGTGGCTCGGACGAGAAACTGTTGTGGTTGGCCTTCCTCCCCTCTTTGATGAACCTCCCGAGTTTCCTTTTTGGGGTCTAAACATTTGTATAGATTTTTAATTTTGATTTAAGAAGTCAGAAAACAAAAAGAGATAATTAGATATTTAAAATTTAGATCCCAACAAAAAGTATAAAATATCAAATGCAGAAATTCTACATTTAATGTGTAAAAACTGGTTATATAGCTAAAACTCACAATATTTTTAACCAGGACCTCTACCTTACTGTAAGGGGGGGGGGACTATGTGAGAGTCCCCTCCAGCCCCAAATTCTGATTGATAGATCAAATAATCAGAAAGTTAAAAATGATTCACAAATCATTTTCAATTTTCCAATTTTAAATTAATTTTGATATTTGACAGTGTTTCGTCTTCAGGCGTTTAATTGTCTGGATATAATAGTTGTGTCGGTATCCTTGATCTCCATATTCGGTGGATCTGGGATTGGGTTCCTCAAAATTCTCAGGGTTCTCAGGGTCCTCAGACCTTTGAGAGCTATTAACAGAGCTCCAGGTAAACTATTATCAAATCATTAAAACCAAATAGTTTCTAGTACAATAGATGGCAACGTAGAATTTGTACACTCTCAGTACAGTTGTATTCTGACGTCACAAGTGTCAACTCTGTCTGTGTAACCGACAAATTTATTAATTATAATGCTAATTTTTAGAATAAAGTGCTTATTTTACAGTAAAATAAATGCGATTTTATGTGTTCTTTATTTTCTGTTTTTACACTTTTTTATTTAATCTTGGAAAACATGTCAACTAATGTGAGAAAATTTCGTTTTCCTTCCGGTTTTACACACACTCTTTTTAAGCATTATGGGACATATAAAACTATGGAATAGTTTGACGACATTTACCTATTCTTACGTGCATATTTAATGTTAATATAAATTGCATTATAGTTTAATCAGAAGCTTAAAAATCAACTTTTTAAGAGTGCATGGGGATATGTACAGTGTATACACTATAATTTTGCTGTGTTTTTAGAACTTTTAAAATCAATACTTGAGTCCAATCGTTTTCTTATTTCACAGTTGTCTGGGTGCCACTGTATAAGCTTTGTCATATTTTTAACCATTCTAGCCCACACGTTTAACGTTGATTGTAAGATTGAATTTTATATGTTTTCAATCATAACTCCGCTTATTGAAGAGATATTGAGGAAACACAGTGTTGTGAATTTATGATATGTTGCCGGCTATTTTCATACGATAGTGCTTAAAATTAAAACTAGAGGATCTACGAGGTCACAAAGTTCTACCAGTAATGCTTCATAAATTTGACCATCTCCTTCTGGTCTATAGTTTGAACTGTTTGATAATTGGTTTGAAATAAGTTTGTTTTGTTTAGGTTTGAAGCAGGTTGTTCAGTGCATGATCGTTTCTGTGAAATCTATTGGAAACATAATGGCCGTTACAGTTCTTCTCATATTCATGTTCGGAGTTATAGGTCAGCTGAGGCCGAAATTCAAGGGCGTAGTCAGGAATTTGTCCGGGGGGGGGGCTCAGCAGGGACTGAAAACCCCCTAAAAACAATAGATTTCAATTTTCCAGGGAGGGGGGCTTAGTCCACATACCCCACCCCTGCCGAGTTTAATGAATTTGAACGGCGTCGCTGAACAGCCAATAGCTGGTTTTAATTGTGCACTGGCTCAAATCTTGAAACCCTGATTAAAATTTCAAGTTGAAAAAACCATGTTTGTCTCGATAATGTTTGTACCGGTTCAAATTCTTTAAATTCGTCCTCTGACAATATAAAAAATGGTGGATTATTTTAGTAGAACCTGACATCTCAAACATGGTGTCCCGCCAAAGTAAAGCTTCAAAGACGACCTAATAGCCCTAATACTATATCAAATATGCTATAAATTGTTTTAAATTTTTCACATCAAACTCATAAAGAGTACTTTTCTAGAAGATCATTTAATAATAATATTTTGTTCTATGTATTCGATTGTTCAATAGGATATTTTTAATATTTTACTCTTGGTGTTTATAGTTTGAAGAAAATTGTTCAATATATTTTACTTTAGGTGTTCAGTTGTTCAATATATTTTACTCTAGGTGTTCAGTTGTTCAAGGGGAAATTTTTCATGTGTACAGATTTAAGTATGACCAACAATCAAACATGTCAGGTATCCACTATTGATCCCTATAAACATATATTCAATATTTCTTAAAAATGAACTGATTACTTTAATCTCTAATTTTCTTATCTTAATATATTTGCAACCTAATTTCGTAGACCTGTGATAACTCAGACTATAAGTTATATATTTAAGTTGTATAAATTCTGTTAGGTTTAATATCCGAACTTTGAATCGCAAATATACAAGAATAAAAAAAAGTTTGAGCATATAGTTCAATTTCTTTGATATTTTGCAAGTTTTCAAGATTAAATTGTATTCAACCATTTTGTATTCTGCATTTTTTTTGGCTTGTTATCTTAAAGATTGGCAGTGTTGCCAAACTTTTTCTTCTTTTACATTCGAGGATACATTCTTGTTAAATAAAAACTTTTTAAAACTTTTCATCATCTTCATATGAAGTTTTGAAAATTTTGGATAGGAATAGGATACAATACATCATTGTAAAATAATTTCGAGTGGCACTCAAGTGTGTGCGTCATGACCGATTCACAACGGTACCTTTCAAACTTTATCTGAGTAATCGCTCGCTCTTGTAAATTCCGACATAAAGGAATTGAGTCTTTGCCACAAACTCTGATTTTCTAATTTTAATATCGTTGCAACAAAATGTCGTGGACCTTTAATGTTTCAAACTATGAATGCTATTAGAGCAAATAATGTAAGTTTGAAATATCAAAGGTTTACATCTTAATGTTGCAAAGATATAGGTTTTACAAAAACTGAATTTGTGGCAAAGACTCAATTCCTTTAGGCAAATATAATATAACGTTTATTCATGTTTATAAAAAGGTTCAATTAGGGTGAGCAAAAGAACATTAATGAACTTTATTAATGAAGGATCGCTTGAAATTACATCTACAGTTCCTTTTAAAGTGTGTATTGCCAAGTGTCATGATATTAAAAATTCATTTCAAATAAAAGTTAGAGAAAACTATAAATATGAAATGCTATCAAATAAAACATAAATGTAAAAATTGAAAAAAATATGAAACCATTGCATTTTTTTCTAGTTTCTTAGCTCACAGTTGTATAAAAAGAGTAAACATTTTATTTTTTGATAAGGTTTAAAGTAAAATAAATGTCAGTATATATATCTTGCTTTGTTTTCATTTTTATTTATTTTATCAAATATTTTTCCAGACTTTTACATCATACAACATCTAAATTGCGTAATTTTCATGTTTTCCTAAAATTATTGAGCACCGTAGAACATTTTTGAACAATTCAGCTAAGCTGTGTTCATGTTCAGAAATTGACCTATTATGATATTTTCATTAAACGAACAATTCATCTACAAGTGACCCTCTGTGTAAAGAGTTCCGTGCCTCATTACCAATTGTACATTTTAAACCTTCCTTTGAGGAACATTAATATTTCTGTTACAATAAACTAAAAAAGGACAATTTTCATCTTTGGTTTCTCTGTAAAAGCGTCTTGCGGATATACACAACATAAATAAAGAAGGAAAGTAATCGAATTTGACACTTTCCAGTCGACAGAATAATAACAACAACTGTATCATCCTTCCTCTGATAAAGGTCTAAATGGTACCGTTGTGAATCATCCCTTCAAACTTGATTATTTAGGGGGAGTATATAGTGTTTGCTGACGGAGACATCAACAGACCTGTGATTGAAGAGAGGATCTGGGAGAGATCTAGTTTTCATTACGATAATATTCTTCATGCTATGCTCACACTCTTTGTAGTATCAACCTTCGAGGGCTGGCCGGGGTAGGTTTACCAAATATATTTCCACGATATAAAACCAAACTTCCTCTAAATTCAAAATTCTGATTGATTTAAAAATAGAGTTTAATCTTCTGATGGGATATTTCATCTCTATATAAGGAAGTTCAGTGTTTATTTATTTACAGTACACGGTATACTACAGGAAATATTTACAGTTCACGGTATACTACAGGAAGTATTTACAGTACACGCTATATTACAGGAAATATTTACAGTACACGGTATACTACAGGAAGTATTTACAGTACACGGTATACTTCAGGAAATATATACAGTTCACGGTATACTACAGGAAGTATTTACAGTACACGGTATACTACAGGAAATATTTACAGTACACGGTATACTTCAGGAAGTATTTACAGTACACGGTATACTACAGGAAGTATTTACAGTACACGATATACTACAGAACTACATGAAGTATTTACAGTACACGGTATACTACAGGAAATATTTACAGCACACGATATACTACAGGAAGTATTTACAGTACACAATATACTACAGGAAGTATTTACTGCACACAATATACTACAGGAAGTATTTACAGTACACGATATACTACAGGAAGTATTTACAGTACACTGTATACTTCAGGAAGTATTTACAGTACAACATATACTAAAGGAAGTATTTGCAGTACACGGTATACTACAGACTCCTATGGATTGATATTTTGTTTAGAATTTTGGACGTGTCAATAGACTCAAATGGATTTATGTTTTTGTTTAGAATTTTTTACGTATCAGTAGACTCTATTGGATTAATATTTTGTTTAGAATTTTGTACGTGTCAATAGACTCCATTGGATTAATATTTTTGTTTAGAATTTTGTACGTGTCAATAGACTCCATTGGATTAATATTTTGTTTTGAATTTTGTACGTGTCAATAGACTTCATTGGATAAATATTTTTGTTTAGAGTTTTGTACATGTCGATTGACTCCATTGGATAAATATTTTTGTTTAGAATTTTGTACGTGTCAATAGACTCCAATGGATTAATATTTTGTTTAGAATTTTGTACGTGTCAGTTGACTCCAATGGTTTAATTTTTTTGTTTAGAATTTTGTACGTGTCAATAGACTCCAATGGATTAATTTTTTTGTTTGAATTTTGTACGTATCAATAGACTCCAATGAATTAATATTTTTTTTTAGAATTTTGTACGTGTCAATAGACTCTAATGAATTAATTTTTTTGTTTTGAATTTTGTACGTATCAATAGACTCCAATGAATTAATATTTTTGTTTAGAATTTTGTATGTGTCAATAGACTCTGATGAATTAATATTTTTGTTTAAAAATTTTGTACGTGTCAATAGACTCCAATGGATTAACATTTTGTTTAGAATTTTGTACGCGTCAATAGACTCCAATGAATTAATATTTTTGTTTAGAATTTTGTACGTGTCGATAGTCTCCAATGGAGTAATATTTCTGTTAAGAATTTTGTACATGTCAATAGACTCCAATAGATTAATATTTTTGTTTAGAATTTTGCATGTGTCAATAGACTCCAATGGATTAACATTATGTTTACAATTTTTTGTACGTGTCAATAGACTCTAATGGATTAATATTTTTGTTTAGGATTTTGTACGCGTCAATAGACTCCAATGGATTTATATTTTTGTTAAGAATTTTGTACGTAACAATAGACTCCAATGGATTAATATTTTTGTTTAGAATTTTGCACGTGTCAATAGACTCCAATTGATTAATATTTTTTTTTAGAATTTTGTACGTGTCAATAGACTCTAATGGATTAATATTTTTGTTTAGAATTTTGTACGTGTCAATAGACTCCAAGGGATTAACATTTTGTTTAGAATTTTGTACGTGTCAATAGACTCCAATGGATTAATATTTTTGTTTAAAATTTTGCATGTGTCAATAGACTCCAATGGATTAATATTTTGTTTAGAATTTTGTACGTGTCAATAGACTCCAATGGATTAATATTTTGTTTAGAATTTTGTACGTGTCAATAGACTCCAATGGATTAATATTTTTGTTTAGAATTTTGTACGTGTCAATTGACTCCAATGAGGCTGATATAGGCAGGATATCAACAATAATATAAATCTTGTTAAAATTATTTTTATAATACTTTTTTACCATTGAAAAAAGCAATAATCCTTGTGATACGAACGATTGTTTCCACTACTTTTTAAATATTTATTTTATTCTTATTTTTGTAAGAAATTAAAACATGACGTGAATTGTCAATTTTTCCTAATAAAATAAATTGAGGCTTTGCCACATACTCAAATTTTCTAAATCCTATATCTTTTCAACCTGATAGTGTAAATCATAAATATTTTGAACTTAGATTATTTGATCTAACACACTTCAAAGCTTGAAATATCTAAGGTCTACGATATGGGGTTGCAAAGATGTAGGGATTAGAACTTCTGAGTTTGTGGCTAAGTTTCAATTTCATTTGTCTGAAATTAATTGTTGAATTGTTCTCCAGGCCCTAAACAGGATTATAGACCTGTCGTATTCTTCTATTACTTCATCTATCTCATCATCATTGCTTTCTTCATGATCAACATTTTTGTTGGTTTTGTTATCGTTACATTCCAGGCACACTTCCAATCAAAACAAAAAAAAATCCAATTAACTTAAAGTCAAGTTGTTCACGGACGGGCATGAAAGTAGTAAAGTAGGGAGGGTATTATAGTGTCGTCACTCACGTGGATTTAACGGTTCTGTCAATATTTCAGAAAACTGAGACTTTCGATCACAATTTGTTCTATTAAACATAATTTTCAGCGTTTTTTCTTAAATACATTTTTGTGGGCGTATACGTTTTGAATGAAAAAGTTTAGAATAAACAAATTCGTAAGTTTAAAGATTGTTGAATTATACACCAAAACACGTTTGATTTCAAATAAAAGAATCAAATGCTTCTCAATCTGGTTAGTCCGGGGTGCACTCCCTCTAGTGGGTATAATATTGTAACCCCCCCCCCCTCTAGTTCTGGGTCTGAAGTACTAACTATGATTGAGAATGACGGATTGTAGAATGAAGGAGAATCCTCGTTTCAAGACTGTGCCTTAGATAAAAATCAAGTAAGTTAACAATTCACACTGGTTAAACCACTAAAATGGGGGGGGGGGTTCCACAGTGAGTAAAGTAGAGGAGGGGTTTAAGAAGGAATCTCTGGAGGAGAGGGGGGGGGGGTTGAAATGCAGTAATAAACAAACCACGCCAAAAGTAAGAATAGCTTTCAGTTTTACCCCATAGCATAATATTCTTTAGCACAATTTTTGTAATATCGATTTTTTTATAGTCTGCAAAATTTAATTTATTTCCTGTTACGTCATCGCCATGCAAAGTCGACTTTGCGCTCAAACTCAGTTATTATTCATCGTAGAAATGTTTTATTAGTATCAAATGATTCTTTAAAAATGTGTCCAAAATAGTGCATATTCAGTTTAACTACCATACATTGCCGGTCACTCCCTTTAAGCAAGATCTAAGTTCTAGAAAGACATCTTTCAGTTTTCATCTTTCTCTGGATATTACTTGCACAAAATATTCTGTAGTTTTCAAAATATATATTTAAATTTATGTTTTGTCAGGGAAAATAAGAAATATTTTCACCTCTGATGTGTATTCCCATTTACCCAGCCGCCTCTCACACAGATCTAAAGGTTGCAAGGTGTCGTGCAAATATCTTTCAGAGTTTTATTAATCATTTATTTAAAATTAAAGCTAATAACTAAGTTTTCGTTAGTTAGTGGGGTAAAATCAAATCTTAAGGCGCTGTGTAGTGACACTTTAAACACAACCCAGTCTTGAAAATTATGCAACTTTTCCTAGCAGTCTGGATCTATATGCTCTCTTCGCATGATTTATGCATTTTTCAATTTTACATAAATTTATTTTTCAAGTTTGAATATTTTTTAGAGAAACTGTATACAGTTTGCTATGACTGCAAAACCGGTTCGACGATACATTCCAAAGCATCCCTTGCAGTACAGGAAAAACAAGAAATCTTATTTCATAATAAAAATGTAAAATTAATTTAAAGATAATTTAAACAAATACCTCATCGTATTCGCAAATAAAACAATATATAAAACAATGAGGTCTAATGTTGATATAACCTTTTTAAATACTTGTCCTTGGTTTATTTATGATTTATGAATAATAAATTGACCGAATAGAGAAACTACAATTAATGATAATCAATTTTCTAAATAAATCATAAATATCTCATTCATTTTTAATGAGTACCGTTGTAAATCGGACACATGACTCTATAAAAATAGGGTTACTTTAAATTGCTTCTACAGTAAAAAGTCAAATTTATTATTATTATCATTTATGTAATCTTTATTACCAATTTTGTTATTAAATCAAATGCTTTTTATAAGTCTAAAAATGTTCGATCAAATCGGGGTTTTATATTAATATATATTTTCCAAATCTTAAAATGTTTAAACCAATTATATTTAATATTATCACTAGCTTGAAAGCAAATTATTTTGTCTTCTATTAAAAATTTCGTTTGAAAAGATTTAAAGAGAATTTCTTACAAAGAAAAATTCTGCGTATGTTTTAATATTTTGGGTTTGAAAGATATCCTAGACTCTCAAGCCAAGAAGTTTATTATGTTATACAGCAATCAGATAAAAGGTTTTTTATTGGTCTAAACCTATATTGCATTTGTACCTTCAGTTTCTATTTAGATTTCTACACAAAAGAAAGAACAAGATAATATAATTTTAGCTTTAACCAATTCTCTTAACAATAAACACAATAAATGAACCAGTTAAACTATTTTTTGCATTTTCTTGTTTTATAATTCTTTAACCGGTTTGAAAAATTAATTTTCTTGATTTGCCAGACTTTGGTCCTTTGCCACCTCACCGTTCTGTGAGTACACTGTATTCATTGCCATCCTGCTCAATACTACATCATTGGCAATGAAGTTTTACAGACAGGAAACCATTCGATACCAATTCTCATTGTATCCTTGTATCCTTGTATCCTTGTATCCTTGTATCCTTGTATCTTTGTATCCATTCCTTGTATCCTTGTATCCTTGTATCCTTGTATCCTTGTATTCTTGTATCCTTGTATTCTTGTACCCCTGTATCCTTGTATCCTTGTATCCGTGTATCCTTGTATCCTTGTATCCTTGAATCCTTGTATCCTTGTATCCTTGAATCCTTGTATCCTTGTATCCTTGTATCCCTGTATTCTTGTATCCTTGTATCCCTGTATCCTTGTATCCTTGTATCCTTCTATCCTTGTATCCTAGTCTCGAATGCCAATGTTATGCAGCCTACTGGATATACAGATTTCCTCGATATATTAAATCAAATCTTCACATATTTCTTCCTAATAGAGTGCACCCTCAAATTAGGCGCATTCAGATTCAAGGTATTAATATTTATATTATCATTTTTTGTTTTAATAAAGTATTCATCTAAGAAAATTTCCGGAAATAAAAAAAATCCTGGGAATCTTAAATGTTCTTCTCATTTTTTTGAGGTTAGGTTTGGCCCTCTCAAAATTGTCAATTTCGATATTAGACTTTTCTGTAGATTTGTTCGTAATGTTTTTTTTTTACTAAAAGCTATTTGTTGTCAACGTTGAAACTTATGGTAGTGTTTTATGAGTGTAGCTTTTTTTGAGGTAACGTTTTGTGAAGTAAGGTTTTACGAGTGTAGCGTTTTATTAGGTAGCGTTTTTCGAAGTAGCATTTGATAATTGTAGCGTTTTCCGAAGTAGCATTTGATAATTGTAGCGTTTTCCGAAGTAAGGTTTTAAGAGTGCAGAGTTTTATCAGGTAGCGTTTTATGAGTGTAACGGTTTTCTGAAATCAGTCGAATAACTATGGACGTTTTTGGTTTTGATAGAAATGTAAATAGAAAAGCTGTATTTTTCTAAAATTTAGCTCACGCTGTAAGGTTTACTGTGAAAACATTAAAAACGGTTTTACGTAGTTTTATATTTCTTTATATTTGTTCATTCTTACATAAAGAGATGTGTTTGCAAATATTAAATTCAATAAATTGCAAAGAGCTACAAAATACCAGCTTACACATGCCACATAAACAACCATACCAGGACATACACAATAGCAACCAAAGCAAGCATTAGGGGGGGGGGAGTAGGGTTTTCAGCGAAAAGGAAAAATCGTTCTCGCGGAAATTTAGCTTCAATCTGTTTAGCGAAAAAATGTAAAATTTTCGCTAAAAAAGAGATGTAAAAATTTCGCGAAACAAATTCGGAATTAAATAAAAATCCAAAATTGTGCGAAAATTTTTCCTCGTTTCACTTTTTTCGAAAAAAGTTTGCGAAATGCGAACGAAAATTTTCGCATTTTTTCTTGTACGTTTTTGTTCGCTGGAAACCCTCCACTGACCTCTTTCTATTTTGCTTAATCTTTTGTTCACAATTTGAAAACTTTAAGTCTTACATCATCAGATTTTAAATATTTTAGTTTCTCTTATTTCGTATGAAGTTGTTCATTATCGAATAAATTTATGCTCTTTTTACAGAATTATTTCGGGGATCCATGGAACGCTTTCGATTTTTTCATTGTAGCCGGGTCCTTGGTGGATCTAGGAATGGCGAAAATAAACGTAAGTATATATTATTTGTTTTCATACTAATAATCTAAAATAAAACAACACTAGGGCTGAACAAAGTTCCGTTAATGAAACGGGGTTTTTTTAAAATTAACAGAGGAGACCGGAAACGAAGGGCAAAACTTTTAATTTCTAATTTAATTGAAAAAAAATAACGTTGAAAACGAAAACTAAATGAATGGGTTTTTTAAATAACGGCAACTTTTGTTTTTTTTTCGGCTAAAATTTAAAAAAAATATTTATTGTATTTTGATGTTTTTAAATGTCGTATTCATCCCCCCACCTATTTATATGATGGACTTTAACAGATTTTTTGTTCGCAATTTGGTGACGGCTTGTGCCGTGAATCCAATTTTAACACTGTTAATATTACTATAAACTTGCACCGTTAACGATTTTACAAACCGTTAACGAATTTATTTTTGCACTTCGTACAATTTCTGATCGATTAATGCCGTTAATTGCAAGAAAAAAAAACGTTAACGGCAGAATATCGTCCGTTAACACCGTTAATAAAATTGAGATTGTAGCTTTAAAAAAAAATGGAAAATACTTTTAAATCTAACTGCTACCTGAAATTTATCTTTTTTTAACGGTTGGAACTAACCGTTAACGAAATAGCTAGACAAAGTTGGAACGTGCCCAGCCCTAAACCTAAAACTATTATTTGGCGTTTATCTCAACAAGCTCTCGCTGGTCACTCCCTTAAAAGTTTAATTTAAATAATATACTTGGAACTAGGATTTTCATTTTTTCCCGGATATTTAAATCCACAAATACCTTTCATGAAGCCATTATGGGAACCCATTAAATTATGGGAAGAACCTTTCTCAACCGATTTCTCAATTAATCTCCTCATAAGATGCAAAATAGAGCTAGGTTTGAAATGTGGGAAAAAGTTGATAATCGTCGCGCAAACTTTCTTTAGCCTGTCACACCTTAGCTCTATGTAGCATCTATCAGCAGATTTATTCTTAATTCGATAAATCTGTTTTAAACAAATCTACTGGGGTTCTCGATGTGGAAATTTAATAAAGAGAATAATTCATGTTTCCTTTTTAAATTTGTGTAGAAAATTAATAAGACGATATGAAATAATGATTCAAACCACAAAATTTATATCAAAAAAATTGTCTTCACACATTTACGACACCCGGGTTTCGATACCTTGTTTCATGAATCTTGACGATACTCTGTCTTAAATCTCTGACCCTGGTGTAATTTCTTGAAAATTTTCGCTGTGTATAATTTTAGATTGCTAAATAATTCTCTAAAATTGAGATTTGTTCATTTAACTTTTAATTAAAGTAAAGGTAGGGAGGACAGGAGTATTTACACTTTTGACTGTGACGTACTTGAACAAATGGAAACTAGTTTTAACAGAAATAAAACAAAGATTGGAAACAAAGTTTTGAATTTTTCCTTTGCAGGGTAGGGTTGGGAAGGCTGGGTTTGTTTACGTTAAACCAGTTTCTGAGCAGTCCTAATACGTCATCACAGTAAAATGTACACAAACACTTCCTCGTTCCTTTAGTTTTCATACCTTGATTTACCATTCCTTGATTTTACATGCCTTGATTTTACATACCTTGATTTTACATACCTTGATTTACCATTCCTTGATTTTACATGCCTATATTTACCATACCCTGATTTTACATACCTATATTTACCATACCTTGATTTACCATACCTTTTATTTTACATACCTATATTTACCATACCTTTTATTTTACATACCTATATTTACCATACCTTTTATTTTACATACCTATATCTACCATACCTTGATTTTACATACCTTGATTTTACATTCCTTGATTTACAATACCATACTTTACCATACCTGATTTACAATACCTTGATTTTACATAGGAAAAAAATCACAAGAAAAAAGTTTCTAGAAAAAAACCCGTAAATAAAAACTTTGGTAAAAAGTAAAGTCCTATGACAAAATGTCACTAGAAATAAATTTCTGAGTCTTGGAAAAATGAGGTCTGGTCTGAGACGTTTTCATAAAAATGAATTTTCTTCTATGCATCTGCATATTGAATATAGCCAGGAGTGTGTTTAATATCAAGCCCCTTTTTCCATGGTTTTAAACATCCTTTTTTATCATATATTTGTCATTTTAACAGAACTTTCTTTTTAATCGTACTGGAACCAGAAAAAAATTCATAGAAAATGATTTGACTTTAATTCCAGAGAATATATATTTCAAAGCATTTTTTCCACAGGACTTTTTTAGTGCCAAAATTTAGAACTTTATTTCCGGTTAAAACTGCGATACATTTACTGCACTGCAGTATATTTACATTGTACTGTACCGCAGTACATTTACATTGTACTGTACCGCAGTACATTTACATTGTACTGTACGCAGTACATTTACATAATACTGTACCGCAGTACATTTACATTGTACTGTACCGCAGTATATTTACATTGTACTGTACCGCAGTAAATTTACATTGTACTGTACCTCAGTACATTTACATTGTACTGTACCGCAGTACATTTACATTTTACTGTATCGCAGAACATTTACATTGTACTGTACTGCAGTACATTTACATTTTACTGTATCGCAGAACATTTACATTGTACTGTACCGCAGTAAATTTCTGGATTTCTGTCAAGCCTAATATACCAAAATCAAAACACAAAATTGTCATATATCATGTTCATACAACTTTTTGGTGATAATGAAGAATAAAAACATTCATTATCTACATTTTATCTACAAATACAATTTTCATGGTCTAAAGTGTACTGTAATTTAATGTACTGTACGTACTGTGCTGTATTGTACTGTACTTTTTTCTATTGTAATTAACTTTTTCTATTGTTCTGTCCTTTTTTATTTTATAGTACTTTTTTCTATTGTACCGTACTTTTTCTTTTGTACTGTACTTTTTCTTTTGTACTGTACTTTTTCATTTGTACTGTACTTTTTCTATTGTACTGTACTTTTTCTATTGTACCGTACTTTTTCTATTGTACCGTACTTTTTCTTTTGTACTGTACTTTTGCCTATTTTACTGTTCTTCATTCAGGCTCTGCCCTGGGTTGGTATGCTCATAGCCCTCATATTCTTTATCTACGGAGTTGTTGGGATGCAGGTATGCAGTACGCCTTGAAAACGTAAACAAACAAATCTTAGAAACTAGCTTGGGAACCCAGCTTTTTCTGTAAGTTTTATTTTCAAAAGAAAACCCATTCAACCAAGACCTCTGGGTTCTACAGAGCCCTAATCAAAATTTGAATCAAACCGGTTTAGGGGTTCCTGAATTATGATCTAACATTCAAACAAACAAACAGAGATTACTACACAGTAGTAGTTACACATAGAGAATGAAACCTTGCGACGAGGAAAAGAGCAATGTTGAGCACTCCTCAAATCTAATTCCAGTCAAAGTAAACTAAATTAAGTTTTAAAATGAAATTTAAAATTTATTAACTTCAAAAGAATTAATTTAAAAATTGATAATTCTAGGTTTTCGGGAGAATTGCTCTGAACGATGAGACAAATATTCATAGAAATAATAATTTCCAATCTTTTACATGGGCTCTACTAGTACTATTCAGGTTATAATGATAATAAAATAATGATAATAATAATAATAATAATAATAATAATAATAATAATAATAATAATAATAATAATAATAATAATAATAATAATAATAATAATAATAATAATAATAATAATAATAATAATAATAATAATAATAATAATAATAATAATAATAATAATAATAATAATAATAATAATAATAATAATAATAATAATAATAATAATAATAATAATAATAATAATAATAATAATAATAATAATAATAATAATAATAATAATAATAATAATAATAATAATAATAATAATAATAATAATAATAATAATAATAATAATAATAATAATAATAATAATAATAATAATAATAATAATAATAATAATAATAATAATAATAATAATAATAATAATAATAATAATAATAATAATAATAATAATAATAATAATAATAATAATAATAATAATAATAATAATAATAATAATAATAATAATAATAATAATAATAATAATAATAATAATAATAATAATAATAATAATAATAATAATAATAATAATAATAATAATAATAATAATAATAATAATAATAATAATAATAATAATAATAATAATAATAATAATAATAATAATAATAATAATAATAATAATAATAATAATAATCATAATAATAATAATAATAATCATAATAATAATAATAATAATAATCCTACTCTAGATGAGGGTAATGAAGCCCTGAGACAACAGATAATGAAGATCTTCAAAACGATGAGTCCTGAAATGTTGGATAAATGTTGTCCAGGCCCGGGATGTAAGACTTGTCTTTTTCTCTTTATAATTATTATTTTTGTCCAGTTGACCTTTTTATTTTCTGGCATGCTTTTTTCTCATTTTTACTCTCTACTAAAATAAATGCATTTTCTACCTAATCTTAATTTTTTCTTAAATCGTCATCTTAATTTGTTATTTAATGATTTAATTGATTATTTAAATTTTTTTGGTTTATTATCTGAACACCCTGTAGTATTCTCTACATGGTTTATTATCTGAAGAAGATATTGTTGTTTTTTAGGTTTTAAAGAAACCATAATTGAAAATGATCAGTTTTCAGGGTGCCGTTCCGAATTGGACATGACATTCTATATGTATAGAGGGTCACTTGAAATTACGCTTTAAAATTTTCAATAAAATAAACCACATTTACATGTGCAACGTTATATTTACGAATAAAAAATTCAAAAAATTCGTAAAATTTCGTTAACAAACTGAACAACCATTGATTTTTAACTCTGTTAAAAATTAAAACTGTTATGGCCCCTGATCCGTTTAACTTAACTAAACGTTTATGATCGGTTAGAAATAAAGTTGCAGGTTGCCCAAACCTAATATTGTTTTTTTTTCCTGAAAATATTTCCTTTTGTTTTACCTGGTGGCAGGCAGGCTAAATCTATTAATAATCTCAAACTAAGCCTTGAAATCATTTATCATCTTAAAAACATATATATATATTATATACATGTATAGTATAATCTTTATAAAGAATTTTATACATTTATATATTACAAGTGTCCGGCGTTTCCCTTGGGAACAAAATAAAATTTGGAAAAAATTTGGAATTTTTCATTTCAAAAATATCAGCCAATTTGGTCCAGCCGTNTTATACAAGATATCTACATTGTATTTTTATACAAGATATCTACATTGTATTTTTATACAAGATATCTACATTGTATTTTTATACAAGATATCTACATTGTATTTTTATACAAGATATCTACATTGTATTTTTATACAAGATATCTACATTGTATTTTTATACAAGATATCTACATTGTATTTTTATACAAGATATCTACATTGTATTTTTATACAAGATATCTACATTGTATTTTTATACAAGATATCTACATTGTATTTTTATACAAGATATCTACATTGTATTTTTATACAAGATATCTACATTGTATTTTTATACAAGATATCTACATTGTATTTTTATACAAGATATCTACATTGTATTTTTATACAAGATATCTACATTGTATTTTTATACAAGATATCTACATTGTATTTTTATACAAGATATCTACATTGTATTTTTATACAAGATATCTACATTGTATTTTTATACAAGATATCTACATTGTATTTTTATACAAGATATCTACATTGTATTTTTATACAAGATATCTACATTGTATTTTTATACAAGATATCTACATTGTATTTTTATACAAGATATCTACATTGTATTTTTATACAAGATATCTACATTGTATTTTTATACAAGATATCTACATTGTATTTTTATACAAGATATCTACATTGTATTTTTATACAAGATATCTACATTGTATTTTTATACAAGATATCTACATTGTATTTTTATACAAGATATCTACATTGTATTTTTATTTCAGTGCTTGAGGAGGAAGTAACTGTCGGGAAATTTTATGCAACATTCTTGATTCAAGATTACTTCCGCAGATTCAAGAAAAAGAAAGATTATAATCTTGAGGTGGGCTTCGATGAAGGTGCCCCCCTCCAGGCCGGCCTTAGAACTCTACACGAGGCCGGACCAGAGCTCAAACGCGCCATTTCTGGCGACCTAAGTGATACGGCGGAAGAGATGCCGTTTATATCCGGCATGCTAAGAGCTGCACATAGACAGCCTGGTGCCGGCTCATTGCCATTAGCAATTCATAAAAAACGGCAACCGGTGGTAGACCCATCCCCGGTCCCGCCCCGGTCCCCCACATTATCCCTGACTCCGCCCCCTGAAAGTGAGAGCTTGTACACGCCCCTGCCAGACGAGTACACGGTTCCATTGTACAGTGAGCCATACTTCCCACCCAGCCCTACTCACCAGTCCTACCTTCCACCCAGCCCTACCCGCCCTACTCATCAGGACCCTACTACGCCCTCCAGGTAAAATTAAAATACTTAAAGAGAGATGGCGCCAAATGAGTGAAGGGGTTTAGGATAAAGTTATTTATTACAAGTGGAATCATATATTTACACTTCTCGCCAACTATATATATCTATCTCCACTGGCTCAGCAATGCAAAGTACCCAACCACGTGCAATGAGTGCAATGTAAACGCCACACAAAATCTAGAACTAAACCCTTGTTGTTGTTTTTTCTTTTTAAAAAGTAAACACTAAAAACCCATTTTCAACATCAAAATAGTCCTGTCTAAACTGCACAGACTGTTTATCAAAAATTCTCCATCAGCTTTGGAAAGTTTACGGCATGAAAGATACTAAGAGCTATACTACTCCCACTGGCCACTGTTGCACAGAGAAAGATTAACAGGGTACCATTGTGAATCGGGCATGGAACTTTTAAAAAAATGTTATTATAAGTCCCCTAGCCTTTCCGAAAAAAATGACCCAACCCAACCTCACCCAGCATACATCAACATTGAAGAAATGTTACCAGCTTACAATTGTGCACATTTTTCGAGAATAAGATAAGGCCCATCTGTTATTTCAAAAAAGTCTTAATAGCAAAATTTAATCCATGATTAAAATGTAATTTTTTAAACGGGGTATAGGCTGCATGATATCGAATTAAATTCGATATCGGTTGCTACAAATTTTACTTTTATATGCTGTGTATTTAAGGAGAAAAGGGTTAAAAATTACTTATACCGAAGAACGTAGGACTAGAATGCGTGATAAATACACGTGGTTGCATAATTTGCACTTCTTTTCTCCTTATATACGTAACAGATAAAAGTGAAGTTAGTAGCAATAGATATCGAATTCAATTAAATTTTAGCCTTTTCCCCTTTTCATTTTTCCCGAACACTCCTTTTAAGATCCCCAGCAGAATATCTTTTTGTGCAAAACTTTATTCATTTTTAAACTTGAATTTTTCTTATTTAGTTTTCAATTGAAGATGGTGAGTTAAACTTAAAAAAAAACATTTAAACCTAAAAATACCAATTTGACCATGTTTACATAAAATGTGTGGCAATTTCTAAATATATTTTACAAATATTAGAAATTAGTTTTACATATTCAACATTTTGGTTGGTTACAGTTTTTACCTCCTTTTGACCAATATTAGCGACCTATGATTCCCCAACTGCGGAAGTATATAAGTTACTTAAATGTCCTTTGGGACTCTCTGTTTCGTGAAAAAATTCGTGCATTTCACTCAAAAGGCGATACAATTGTGCACAACTACTTTTGCGGAAGAAAATTGTAAATTTTACTAAGCCACGGTTCCCCCCGACTCGATCAAATTTGCTTAAAAACATCTACGCTTGGGACGTTTTGAAGGCAAAATTGGTGTTGGAGTCCCTTGGGAAAGTTGAATTCTCCTAACTTCCCTGTACAGTAGTTGTAAATCATTAAAACATCTAGATATTTTATAAAAATGTTTGATTAAATGTTCTACGCATGTGCATACTTTGTGTAGAGCATATTTTTAAAAATTTTATTTATCAGAACATTTTACCCTGCATGAGAAATTAGAATAAAATAGTACAAATACAGTGTTGGGGTGCATGTCTCAAGTAACAAATAAATTCTAATGTGCTGGTCAACTTGTATGTAGGTTTTTTAGTAAAAATCAAAATTAAAGGTACTAAAAATAAAAAAATTATCATCACTTCTCCAAGGTTAGGTTTTGACAAAATATTTTGAAGAAATTTTTTTTTTTTTTCAATCTTGCCGGAACTTTCTCAGGAATCTTTAATATTTTTCTGTACGCACAATATAATTTGATATATATATATATATGTACTTCCTTTCTACAGCAGATAATTTCTTTTTTATTTCAAGCTTTCTTTACCCAAGCTATGCTATCACAAGTCCACAAGCAACTGTTAATTTAATTTATTGATTAAAAAGAATTTTGCAATAAAGAAACAAAAAGAAATGTTCAATGAATTCTACTTCAAAACAAAATCCGGAATTTAACTTTACAAATCTTTTGAAACTTACTCAAGTGTTAAAATAACAGTTTTTATTTGGTGTCTTGTCTTTTAGCTATAAATAGATTTTATTTAGTGGTGGTCAGCAGATAAAGAAACAAAATATGCATAAAACTTCGTTGTTTGATATTATTAAGTTGACATTATTTTTCTTCTTAAAATTATAAATAGGGTATCATAATTTTTGATTATCTTTGATTTTGATAGTAAACCTATGTTTGATCAGTAGAAGCACTAGATTTCTCTGCCTAGATTGATATAAAGAATAAAGATATGAATCTACTGCCAAGTCTTAAATTAAAAACAATGTGAATTCATTTCTAAGAAAATATGAAACTAAAAAACTAATTAAATCTTTAAAGTGTGTTTGTAAACTAGATTTTGATGTAAAATTTAATTTAATTTATTATGAACCATGGTTCACATTTTTCCTACAATGTAAACTCACCATGCAATTAAAAAAAAAATTAACAGTGGAGTTTTATTTAAAGATTGAATGACAATTGTAAATATTTTTTTATGTAAATTGTTCTAAATCTACCCAAATTGTGAAATTGTATACAAGGCCGGGCCCATGAATTCAAAAATTCCCCGCTTCTGGCCTTTACTGAACTACATGTGGATGAATAGATTCACGAAACATCAATTATTAGCTGTGAAAAAAAATATTTTTTTTCGAATTTGGGGTCTCCAAGTTGGTTTTTTGATAAATTAAAAGCAATGTGAATTCCTCTCTAAGAAATAATGAAACTAAAAAAAACTAATTATAATTTTTAAAGTGTGTTTTCGAACTAGATTTTGGTGTAAAATTTAATTTAATTCATATATGAATCATGTTTTACATTTTTCCTACAGTGTAAACTTACAGTGCAACTTTTCAAAAAAATGTTTAAAGGGACAGACCGGCTATGTAAGGTAGTTGAACTGAATATGCAGTGTTGTGGACAAATTCTTTAGGATTCATTTGAGACATATAAAACTTTTTAAAGATCTGTAAATCCTGAGTTTGAGCGCAAAGTCGACGTTCAAAATCGTACTTTTAGGTGGATACGTGTTCAATCAGAATTGTTGTTTAGGAACAGGTTGAGAAAATAAAAATTAATCTTATCATCGAAAATAAGTAATCTTGTTCAATTATTAGTTTCTATTTTCTCATTATTCACAAAGATATTCTGCAGATTTTCTGGAATTATTATTGTAAAGACGACATTTGTAGAAATCTGCGAATAAATTCATAGAAAATAAGAAATTCAATATTATGATGAAAACGAAATAATTGATTCTAGCATTGATTTATTGACAAATTTCTTTTGAGAAATATTTTCCTAACCATCTAATTAGTTTACTGTATAATTATTACTTTATTTTTCGTTGCTGTTATTTAATAATAAAAAAACGGATTCTGAAAACGTATCCATGCCCAAATTCATGATTTTGAACGTCGACTATGCACTCAAACTTAGTAATTATACATCGTGGAAATGTTTTATATGTTCAAATGAATTTGTCCACAACACTGCATACGTAGTTTAAATACCTTACAAAGCAGGTCTGTCCCTTTAACCGTGTAGTTTAATTTAAATTATAAATACTTTTTTATGTAAATTGTTAAAAATCTACCAAAATTGTGAAATTGTATACAAGGGCCCATGAATTCAAAAATTCCCCGCTTCTGGCCTTTACTGAACTACACGCGGATGAATAGATTTACGAAACATCTAATGATCTATTATAAGCTGTGAAAAAAAAAAAATACTTTTTTCGAATTTGGGGTCTCCAAGTTGGTTTTTTGATTTTAGAACCCCCCGGCTTGATGACCCCAATTTCAAGGAGATTAACATTCTATCTTGTTAAATGGTTTCAGAAACATATTTTTTAATTAAAAAACTGAAGACTAAGTATTTGAGATATAGAGACCGAAGTGTTTTTTGATCTAGGTCTAAAATTGAATGCTTAAGAGCATGTTAAGTAACACAAACTTACACGTTTAAAGTACGTTCATGAATCGACCAACATTTTTGAAATGGTAAAAACTACCCCAAAAATATATTTTTTTTATTTGGTTGCTGTTAATGATTTTTATAACAAGAATTTTAAATTTGAGAAGAATCTATTTACAACAAAAAAATTATATGATGTATTGATAATATTATAAATGTGAAGTGTTTTAAACATTCTAAAGATTGTATAAGAACTTAAACAAGATACAGGGTGTCTCTCGAAACATGACAGTTGGTGAATAGTTTTGAATGTCTTCTTCATACACTGCATTAGATATCTAAAGACTTTTTGCACTTTATTTCGTGAAAAAATTCCTTTACTCAAATATATCTTACATATGTTTATACAACAAACTTAACAAATTATAAAAAAGACATTTCAAACTACTCACTAACTGTCATGTTTTTTGATCAAAAGTAGAAGATTATTTTATTATTATTTATAAATTTTATTATTCAGGAGAATGACGCAGACGAGTCCCCTGCCTCAGCTGGAGAGGCCACCTAGGCCAGGTGTGAGGAGCCGGGGGTCCCCGCCCCCGCCAGGGATACCTGCAACACCGAGGGAGGGAGGTCCGACCCTTCCTCGGGGAGCTGGAACCCCGCAGCATAGAAGCCCTGCCATGAGCCTCGTAGGACGGGTAGGTCACCTCCAGAATAAAAACTAAAATGTGTTATAAAGAGCGAGGGAGGGGTTGCAGACTGCAGGGCCGCTTTGAGCCCCGCGTAATGATCTCCGAGCTCCTAAATTTGTAAATTCTACTTCAAGCCCTGCATTTTGACATCTCTCCAAAACTTTGTTAACTTTAGTACAAGAATTCGTAAAAAAAAACCTTGTTGCTATGCAAAAAAGAACATTAATGGAATTTTTACCAGCAACTTTTTTGTCCTGGCCGCTCCTTGCACCAATTTTTCTTTTTTCTCTCTTTTCATTCCGCGGATACGTTGTGAATAACAAATAGAAAGATAACTTTGTAAGTTTGAAGTTTTTTGAATTATATTATTCAATATCTGAGCAATTAAATACAAATTTCATGTGGAAACCAAACTCTTTCCCCTCCATACCATAATCCCAAGCTTCCATTTAACTCCTTAAAACATTCTATTTGTATTATTTCAATATTATTCTCAAAAAACGTTTTGCCTAGGTGCTACGAGAGCAGGGTTTGGGTCGCCATATTGATGAAGATTTTATCGCTGCTGCTACGGTGGAAATGCGGGAAGCTATGAACATGACAGCTGAAGAGTTTGAAGCAGCTGCTGAACAGCTGTTAATGGCGGAAAATGAGGGAAATTTCAGGTGAACTTGAAAAATAGAAAACCAAAAAGTTTTCAAAAATTATGATTTTTTGAATAAGTTAATGCTTATAATGAACAATTTTATGAAAAATCAGAATTCAGAACCAGGTGGACTTATTTCTAAATCTCTAGCCAACGATTATATAAAGTTATGGTCAAGGACCAATTTTGATATATATTGACAGCAGGTCCTAAATTATAAATCTTGGGAAACATCTTTAAAATTCCATATTTCACCATATTGGAGCAATTACAGATATATACTATACAGTTTGACACGCTTCATTAAAGATGGCAATGCCAGATTTACAACCGTACATTTTAAAGCTGTGTCTGATCCAGTATGAGTTAGATATCAATGTTTATAATATTGAAAACTAATTTAATTGTGATTTCTCTATATTTCTCTATATATAATATTGAAAACTAATTTAATTGTGCTTTGTGATTTCTCTATATTTCTAATGATACTGCACAATATTTCTTCAAAAATTTTAATGGAATCAGTAATGGAATTGTTTTTTCTGTTTCAAAATTTAACCAAGAAATAACGAAACGCTATTACGACGAAAGGTCAATTGTTTTCTGGTTCTCACTGTAAAAGAAAACTTTATTGAAAAAGGATCTGTGTTTTAATATAAAAAGTATAATGTTTCTATATCATTTCCGTATCATCGATACAATCCGGATATAATCTCGAGTTTTGAGATTACACCCAGATAAAAGTATGAATATTTTAAACAATTCTTGAAAGAACAGCTCGTTTTAGATTTTTTCATTTACAAATAGATTTTATTTTTACATATTACAATCAAGGGAGTTTAACAAATGATAAAATGACTCAACACATTCTGTGACACTCTCATTTTCTTTAAAAGGGATTTTCAATTTTTTCAGTGTTCGATTCACAACGGTACCCTTTAAACCATAATCTGATCAATACTGTGCAAGATGACGTAATTTTTCTGGTTTGAAAAGTGTTTAATTTTGATAATTTCCCCATAGTTTCTGTAGCAAGAAACGTGCACGTTACTTTTGCAGAGAAACCACAACAACAAATGAAACTAAATAGTTTTCAAAAACTAAAAATGGATATCTAATTCATACATGATCAGACAAAGCCTTTAAGGGTACTGTAATGAATTCGACGTGTCAGTCACTTGAAATTACGTTTACTGTCCCTTTAATAAATACTATTTTCAGCATGCCGCAGCTACGTTTACTGTCCCTTTAATAAATACAATTTTCAGCATGCCGCAGTCTGCGTTTACTGTCCCTTTAATAAATACTATTTTCAGCATGCCGCAGTTACGTTTACTGTCCCTTTAATAAATACTATTTTCAGCATGCCGCAGCTACGTTTACTGTCCCTTTAATCAATACTATTTTCAACATGCCGCAGCTGCGTTTACTGTCCCTTTAATAAATACTATTTTAGGCATGCCGCAGCTACGTTTACTGTCCCTTTAATCAATACTATTTTCAACATGCCGCAGCTACGTTTACTGTCCCTTTAATAAATACTATTTTCAGCATGCCGCAGCCAGGCCGGGATTATAGTGTATCAGACATGACCTCAATGATGACCTCATCTGAAGCATTGACCCTGACCCCTGAGCCCAGTCAGGCCACCCTGACCCCAACCCCATCCTTTGACCTTGACTCCCCCCCTGTACCCTCCCCTCGGAGAAAGAGGGGTCCAAATGAGTGATAATGTGAAAATGATCATCTTGTAATATCTAAATATATTTTATATTCATCTTATAAACATATTTATTTTTTTCCTTAACAGTAGGCAGGAATCTATTAATCTGTTTACGGCAGGAATCTATTAATCTGTTTAAGGCAGGAATCCATTAATCTGATTTAGGCAGGAATCCATAAATCTGATTTAGGCAGGAATCAATTAATCTGATTTAGCAGGAATCCATAAATCTGATTTAGGCAGGAATCAATTATTCTGATTTATGCAGGAATCAATTAATCTGATTTAGGCAGGAATCAATTAATCTGTTTTAGACAGGAATCTTTTAATCTGTTTTAGGCAGGAATCAATTAATCTGATTTAGGCAGGAATCCATTAATCTGTTTTAGACAAGAATCTTTTAATCTGTTTTAGGCAGGAATCAATTAATCTGATTTAGGCAGGAATCCATTAATCTGTTTTAGACAGGAATCTTTTAATCTGTTTTAGGCAGGAATCAATTAATCTGATTTAGGCAGGAATCCATTAATCTGTTTAAGACAGGAATCTTTTAATCTGTTTTAGACAGGAATCTTTTAATCTGTTTTAGGCAGGAATCAATTAATCTGTTTAAGACAGGAATCTGTTAATCTGGTTAAGGCAGGAATCCATTAATCTGTTTTAGTCAAGAATCCTTTAATACTTTTAAGGGCGGAAAGAAACTTTCGATTTTGGGGAAAAAACAGCGGATTAAACTTCAAAGTCATTTTAGATTAAAATATGTTATTAATATTGATGCAACCGGCCTAGGACCGAATTGATAGAATTTGAGTAAGGACGCTGAATCTGTGATTCAAAATAGGTGGTTGAACAGTTTCTGGACCTAGCTCAAATTCGTCAAGCCCCCTAGAGAAGCTGGAAAAACGCAAAACCGTATAACACAAAGGCATTTTATGAGAAACCGTAAAATACTGTTTGAAATATACCTAAAATTTTGATTCTAAATAAAATAAAATAAATTACGATATTTTGTGAGAATTTCTTAACAGAATGTTAGGGGTATCGCAAAAATTAGCGAGACATAGTACAGTGTAAAATAAAGAAATAGAGGCTTTGCTAACATATTTAAATATTCAAAAATATATCTTTACAACCTGATGGTGTACACCTTTGATATTTTTAACTTATAGATGATTTGATCTGACAGAATTTTTAGTTTGAAAAAACTAAGGTTCCGAAATTGAACTACAAAGATTGTAGAGAAAATATTCTCAAATACATAATATATAAAATTTATTCTCTTTTTTATAAAATTTTATGATTAATTTAGGTCATTCTTTATTCTTAAGAGAAACTATTTTTTTTGTTAACTGTTGATACATTTTAAGAAAAAAATGTTAATCCTACTTCATTTCACATCTTAAAATAGTTTCTTTGCAAAAATTGGCTATTTAATTTCACAACTGTCCTCCTCCATTCTCCACCCACATTTACTTACCAGCCCTCCTCCATTCTCCACCCACATTTACTTACCAGCCCTCCTCCATTCTCCACCCACATTTACTTACCAGCCCTCCTCCATTCTCCACCCACATTTACTTACCAGCCCTCCTCCATTCTCCACCCACATTTACTTACCAGCCCTCCTCCATTCTCCACCCACATTTACTTACCAGCCCTCCTCCATTCTCCACCCACATTTACTTACCAGCCCTCCTCCATTCTCCACCCACATTTACTTACCAGCCCTCCTCCATTCTCCACCCACATTTACTTACCAGCCCTCCTNAAGAGGTAAATTATATAGATTTGAAACTAATTAATCATGACTTAATATTCCGATGATTTTACAATTCAAATATTTTAAAATTCATCTGTTATTTTACTATTTAGAATCTAGGTTTTTATCTTCAAATAATTATGCTTAATCTTACGAACACAAAATTCTTATCTTTATAACAAAATTAGATAAACTTCTTTAGTTTATGTTAGGTCGGTTTAGAGGAAACAATTTTTAAAAAATGCTTAGCCTGGCCGCCATTTTTTTCTGTCTTAATCTAGTTGGTAAGTTAGAGGATTTTTATCCTAAAGGGTGTGTGTGTAATAAATACAGCAATCCCTATATTTGTAAACCTGAACATATCTAGATATATTACGTTGTACATTGTCTGTGAATCCAAATGCGCTTATCATTAACTACTCAAAACTTGTAATGCGATTAGCCTAGCCTAGCTACGTCTGTAAATACATCAAAACCTGTATTGTGATTAAGTTATAACTACGTCAGTGACTGGCTTAACTACGCTTATTTATATCCGCACTAAACTTGTAAATACTTATTTAAACTTAATCTGTAACATAGATATCTAAATACACATTAGTTGGAATATACTCTGTTTTGATTACAGTGAGAGAGTAATTTGTGCCTTGTTGAAACATACGAGATGATATGATCGTGCCCATTGGTTTGGCATTGATAGTTACGTGCTTATGTCCTTGTTGACTTCGGAGCCTATGAGATTGTGCCCATTGGTTTGGTATTGATAGTTACGTGCTTATGTCCTTGTTGGCTTCAGAGCCTATGAGATCGTGCTCATTGGTTTGGCATTAATAGTTACGTGCTTATGTCCTAGTTGAAACATACAAGATGACAAGATCGTGCCCATTGGTTTGGCATTGATAGTTACGTGCTTATGTCCTATATTGACATCAGAGCCTTTCAGATTGTGCCCATTGGTTTGGTATTGATAGTTACGTGCTTATTTCCATGTTGACTTCAGAGCCTATGAGATCATGACCATTGGTTTGGCATTAATAGTTATTTGCTTATGTCCTATATTGACATCAGAGCCTATGAGATTGTGCCCATTGGTTTGGTATTGATAGGTACGTTCTTATTTCCTTGTTGACTTCAGAGCCTATGAGATCATGACCATTGGTTTGGCATTGATAGGTATGTGCTTATGTCCATGTTGACATCGGAGTATATGAGATCGTGACCATTTTTGGAATTTGTATTTGGTATTTGATTATCTTTCAAAAAGGTAAAAATATTTTTCATGTATATTGGTGAATTGATCAATTTAAGTATGAGAAGAATGCAGTGTTAGCAGGGAAGGTTAAAATTTTTCAACACCACAGAAAAAAAAATCTAAGAAATACCTTTTTTATTATGTCAAAAAACTGTGGTTGGGGGGGGGGAGGCATTAAATTCAAAATATTTGCGTAAATACTGGAAGATAAGTTTCACTGACGTAAACCAGATAACACCTAATTTTTGGTTAGATAGATAAATAATTAGAAATGTAGATAAATATTAAAACAATGCTTACTGGGCGCTTCGCGCCCATCTTATATTTCAATTGTGAACATTTTCTCATTTTACACATTGTAAAACAAAAACAAACAAAAATTTGCAGATTTAGAAAAAAATGTCGTGAAATTTCAAAATTTTCAAAAATCTAATTTTGTTAGAGGAAAATTTTTGCAAATTCGATCATCTTTATACATTCCCTAGGGTCACATGAGGTCCCACAAAAAATTTGGGCCAGATTGGTTTAGTCGTTTCGATGTTTTGAATACAAACAAACAAACAGATTAAGAAACACCCAGACAAGCAAAGTATTTATATAGATATCAAGAGAAAAAGATTTATTGATTTACTGAGAATCAATTAATCAAGAATTGATTATCGATATATTTATTGATTGATTGAATGATTGATTGCTAGGGTTTGGACAAGGAGCTACATGTGAGTGTGAGAGCATGCTATTGAGTTCTACAGGAGGCCTAGCGTAAATATTTTTTTATTCCGTAAACACAGATCAAATTGTATAAAGTCTGTTTGAAAAATTATCATCTGTCAATAAGATCACAACATCTATAGGTTTTAGAATCTTGAATTTTTTTGCATATATCTTCTTTTGAAACAATAATTTATAGATATAATCAAATAGCAGTTCATAATTCATATAATATCTAAATTATTATATTATTATGGTTATTAAATCATAAAAACAGTAATAATAATGATATTGATAATAAACCCAGGTAACAAAAAGCGAGGAATTTCTCCAAGTTCTCCAGTTTTGGTGACTTGCTTCGAGGAATTTCCGGGGAATTTCTCGAGAACAAGTTCTTGTGACTGATTCCTCAGAAATTCCTGAGATTTTCTCCGGAATTGTTCTAAAGAAATTCCTGAGATTTTTTCTGGAATATTTCTCCTGAAATTCCTGAGAATTTCTCAAATCTAGAAATATTAAAAGAACCTATATTAAAGGGAATAAAAACTAAAAATATTAATTGAACGAATATTAAAGGGAATAAAATATAAAATACTGAAGGAATGAATATTAAAGGGAATAAAATCTAAAAATAGTAAAGGAACGCATATTAAAGGGAATAAAATCTAAAATATTGAAGGAACGAATATTAAAGGGAATAAAATCCAAAAATATTAAAGGGAATAAAATCTAAAAATATTAAAGGAACGAATATTAAAGGGAATAAAATCTAAAATATTGAAGGAACGAATATTAAAGTAAATAAAATCCAAAAATATTGAAGGAACGAATATTAAAGGAAATAAAATCCAAAAATATTGAAGGAACGAATATTAAAGGAAATAAAATCCAAAAATATTGAAGGAACGAATGGCCAATATTTATGAATACCTGGATATTGGATACAGTGGAGTATGACGGGCATCCTCAGGTATAATAAATCAGACAAATAAAGGGAGAATTAGCATTTTTCAGAAGAGGGTCATTAATTGGAAAATTTTAAACAAAACTCATCTTTTTTCCTTGAAACATTTAGGTCCCTAATAAAATATCAATACAATATTTACATTTAATTTTTGCTCTTTAAAAGGCATACTTTCCCATTATCAGAAAGGCATAATTTAGATTTGGTTAATTTAAATACGTTAACTAACTAATTAACAAACTTAAAAATAAAAATTATTTTACGAATTTTCTGTGATCCCAATTTGAAAGAATCAAATGAAAAAGCATGGAGGGTGTTTACGGTTCAATGGCCTAAACCTCATCTGAAACTCCCAAATTTGCCATGTTTTGGTGAATTTATTTCTTTTATTGACATTTTTTTCAGAGATGTTCGCACAGCATTTTTGTTTTTGGGTTTTGACAATGTCTGAAAAATTAACAAACCTTTTAAACAATATCTATGCCATGCTGGGCCCATGCTTTGAATTTTTTAAAGGGACGGGAGGTGTCATTTCAAGTGACCCTCCATCTGTTGAGTGACGTGTATGATTCACAATATATTTACATTAAATGTGGAACTAACATCTATTTTTGTTTTCTCAACAGAGGTTTGGTCCATCACCATTACAGAATTTTAAATCGTTGATTGTTTGCTTACGTTTAATTTGCAGTACAGATGTGACGAATGTTTGTTTAAGTTTTATTTGCAGTACAGATGTGACGATTGTTTGTTTACGTTTTATTTGCAGTACAGATGTGACGATTGTTTGTTTACGTTTTATTTGCAGTACAGATGTGACGAATGTTTATTTGCAGTACAGATGTGACTAATGTTTATTTGCAGTACAGATGTGACGAATGTTTCGGGGCAAGAAAAGTGCTGATTTGGCTGGAGGATCGGGAAGCTTTAGAAAAAATAAATTAATTTATTTTATTTTTATGTTTTTTAAAACAAAAATCTAAATAATTTCAGGAGATAACTATAACATATATTATGTTTAAAATAAAAGGGTCTTTATATTCTACCTTTATTCAGGAGACTATGTTTTAATTTCGATTGAAAAAAAATTATTACAGAAGAATTTTCTTTTAAAGAGAAAAAAGAAACGGTTTGTCTCATTTGGAAGAAAAATCTTCCTCGTCGTTTCTAAAAAAGAGATTTATCGGAATTATTAAAATCTGTTGATTTCATTTCAAATTTTGCTGACAATATCTTTTATTTTTGATTTTTTCCGCTAAAACTTCGAGATTTTTAGTTGGTCTATTGTGGATTGCAACCCCGATAATTCAGAGGTATGTTCTTTTCCTTTTGCTTTAAAACAAAACCGAAACATAGAAAAATCGGTCATATCATTTTTAATTCACAAATTATCTTTATCTTTAGAAAAACTAGTCAATTTACAAAATGAAAAATATTTTTTTAATTTTAGGGATGTCAGGGTGTACATGAGTTTGTAAGATCTCCACGTGTACCGACAGGAACCTGTTTATGGGATGTACAGGTGAGAAATGTACAATATAGCTTTATGTACAGTTTATAGTGTACAGTACACATGTAGTAATTAACACATAACATTTCTTTGCAAATCCAATTGTATTATAATTACAATGATTGGCAAATAGGAGGAGGGAAAGTGCAGATTTTTTTACTTTTCCAATTTTAATACACATTTTAGGTTTAAATATATATTTTCTGGTATATTCCAATATATTTATGATTTATGATGATTGCATAAAAGCATGAAACAATTTGTTTATGAATAAAATGTTATAAGAAGATTGTTGCGTTTCAACTGATATGAATATATATATATGTATAATTGTATATATATAAATATAAGAAAAGAAGTATTCAACATATTATTTGAGTTTTTAATTGTATATTTATTGGCCAAAGGCATGAAAGATTCTACGTTTAAAGTTGTCAGTATAAACTCATAATTATGATATGTTCTTTTAGCAATACAGTGTGTCCCAAAAAATATGATAGTTAAGAGACGACTTCATGATCGTCTTTGAAAAATGAGTTAACAAATGTAAAAGTTTGTTAAAAATTAAACAACTTATGAGGTATTTATATTGTGGTGAACCTTTTGACCCTGACAACCCACTTTATTTCCATAGATAGTTAAATTTATCAGAATCAATCTTTCAGTTGTGTCTCAAGCTTCATTTTTTGAGGGACACCCTTTATTATCTTTGGATTTTCCTGAACTTTGCAATTATTGTAAAAATCCTTTGTTGCAGAAATAAATTGGCAACAATTCAGGAATCAAGTTTTATAAATTGAATTAAACTCTTTAAACTTTATTGCTAGTTAAACCTTTATTTGATTAAATCTGTTAAATTAAAAACAATGAGTTTTCCAAATTACAAACATTAGTATCTAATTAGTATCAGACAGAGCTTTTCAGAGCATTGTCATCTTTGCATAGACCAGCATTTTGAATTACCCTCACAGTCCCTTTAAAGAGGGGATTTTATTTTATTACATAAAATCCACGAAAAATGAAAATATGGATATTTACTCTAACTAACGTCAATGCAGATAAGGGTTTTAACATTTTATAGAGAGAATCAATTTGGACAATTTAAAAATAACTTTTTTGCATAACAACTTTTTTGATATTGCCAATGGGTACGCCACTTTAGAACATAAAATTAGTTGTTAATAAAATTAAAACTGGCATTTTTTCTACCTATTTTTAATAGTTTATAGAAATTATCACTTAACTCAAACTCAAATTTCTGATCTAAGCAAAATTACGAATATTATGTTCAAAATCATTAACAGAACATTAGGGATATCTAACAAATTTTTTTCCCGTTCAATTTATTCGTGTTTTAGAACATGTTATCGTTATTTCGAATTCCTTCTGGTAATTAATTACATACAAGCAAAATCTCAGGGTTTCTATTATACCTTACCGTAGATCTTTGCAACCTGGTGGTGTAAACCATAAAATTTGACTATTTAATCTTTACTTTTTTGAATATTTTAATTTTTTAAGAAATGGAAAAACACGTTTCTATCATTAGGAGTTTTAAAACCTAAATGTTTAAGAAAAGCTCAAAAAAAAATAGTGCTAAGATCGACCCCAAATCATGAATATCTTAAAGCTAAGAATGTACTTAAAGTTAGCAAACTTAAAAAGTTGGCGGAAAATTAGGAAAGTAAGCGTCTGGAAACTTCAAAATAAGTTTACTGTCAAATACTTTACAGCATTTTATACTTGAGGTAAACTGTTACAGAAAGTTTCACTATTTCTAGATGCCACGTTAGATATGTGGGGGGATGTGGAGGCTATTTCGTTCATTTATATCCTGTACGGTACTGTACAGTTATATCCTGTACGGTACTGTAATTTATATCCTGTACGGTACTGTTCAGTTATATCCTGTACGGTACTGTTCAGTTATATCCTGTACGGTACTGAAAGTTATATCCTGTACGGTACTGTACAGATATATCATGTACGGTACTGTACAGATATATCATGTACGGTACTGTACAGCTATATCATGTACGGTACTGTAATTTATATCCTGTACGGTACTGTACAGTTATATCCTGTACGGTACTGTTCAGTTATATCCCGTACTGTACTGTAAGTTATATCCTGTACGGTACTGTACAGTTATATCCAATGTGGTACTGTAAGTTATATCCTTTACGGTACTGTACAGTTATATCCTGTACGGTACTGTACAGTTATATCATGTACGGTACTGTTAAGTTATATCCTGTACGGTACTGTACAGTTATATCATGTACGGTACTGTACAGTTATATCCGGTACGGTACTGTAAGTTATCCTGTACGGTACTGTACAGTTATATCCAGTGCAGTACTGCACAGTTATATCATGTACGGTACAGCAATTTATATCCTGTACGGTACTGTTCAGTTATATCCTGTACGGTACTGTAAGTTATATCCTGTACGGTACTGAACAGTTATATCATGTACGGTACTGTAAGTTATATCCAGTACGGTACTGTACAGTTATATCATGTACGGTACTGTTCAGTTATATCCTGAACGGTACTGTAAGTTATATCCTGGACGGTACTGTTCAGTTATATCCTGTACGGTACTGTAAGTTATATCCTGTACGGTACTGTAAGTTATATCCTTTACGGTACTGTAAGTTATATCCTTTACGGTACTGTAAGTTATATCCTTTACGGTACTGTACAGTTATATCCTGTACGGTACTGTACAGTTATATCCTGTACGTAACTGTACAGTTATATCCTGTACGATACTGTACAGTTATATCCTGTACGGTACTGTACAGTAATATCCTGTACGGTACTGTAAGTTATATCCTGTACGGTACTGTAAGTTATATCCTGTTCGGTACTGTAAGCGTAATTTTACTTGACCTTCCAGGCAAAGAGCGTAATGCCAGATTAACAACCTTTGACTGATCATCGAGGACAGAGATCTCATTGTATTTATCTCTTAAATCTGGAGTTTCAAAAATTCAAATATTAATATTCTGCACACACTTATAGAAAGTAAATATTAATATTCCTTAACTATAAAATGGAAGAGTCTTTCATCCTTGATCCTCATGTAAACCCAGGAAAGCAGTATGGCCAGTCGAATTGAAAAATTGAACATTTACACATGAAAGGATTTAGCGATAGTGACCTAAAAAAGCAGTCAACAACAAAATAATAATAAAATAATTATAAACTAACATTAAGAAATATATTCTGTGTTTAATAAGAAAATATATCAAAGTAAAGATGCTTTAGACATATCTTTGCTGCTAATTAGATTTCTTCCAAATGATTACACAGAAAAGTAATAAATTTCTGGATTTTTAAACATCCTTGCCAAGATTGTATAATATTTTATATACAGGGTTACCAATCAAGTACGAGCCTGGTACTCTGAGTCTGAGAATTAAGATAGAGTATCGTTATGAAACCCAGTATCAGAAACCCAGTATCAGAAACCCAGTATCAGAACCCAGTATCAGAAACACATTTTCCTGAATGTGGTCAGGCAGTTTTGTAGATACCAATATTTTTGTTAAGACACTTTATTTCATGTCATGGCCAGCCGTAGTACATTTAAATTTCCGGGCCGGGTCAACCATTCTGTTCACAGTTTGTACTGTACCTAGCTCTATGGACAAGACTAGTCGGTGTAACAAGGTTGACGCGGTCAGACGTGCTTCATATAGGTTAAATTTACTTTTACTAAAGGGGCAGAGGTGCGTGATGTGGTTTCTTTACGTTCTCTTTTTGTTTTCTGATTTCTTAAACAAAAATCAACGTAAATTTTCCAGATAAATTATTACACTTTTTAAAATCTTGATTAATTATCTATCTTTTACTTTTCATATAAATTTCAGTATTTTAAGTTAGTAATAAAGTAATTATTTAAACCGGTGTTTATTAACTTGAGCGTAGCTAAAGTATTGTGATGGTGAGATATCTGTCTCGTGTTCCCATTAATATTGTAATAATTCAGGGGAAATGGGAGTATTTTGATGGGAAGATATCTTATTCCCATGAATATTGTTATATTTCAGGGAGAATGGGAGGATTGTGATGGGGTGATATCTGGCTCGTGTTCCCATTAATATTGTAATATTTCAGGGAGAATGGGAGTATTGTGATGGTGAGATATCTGTCTCTTGTTCCCATTAATATTGTAATATTTCAGTGAGATATCTGTCTCGTGTTCCCATTAATATAGTAATATTTCAGGGAGAATGGGAGTATTGTGATGGTGAGATATCTGTGTCGTGTTCCCATTAATATAGTAATATTTCAGGGAGAATGGGAGTATTGTGATGGTGAGATATCTGTGTCGTGTTCCCATTGGTCTAAAGATAGTTCAGTGCAGTTCACATGTACTGAGTAATGAAGAACTGATAAAGAAACTGATTCATCACCCCAACTTTTCTAATCCTAATTTCTTTGCAATCGGATGCTTTTCATGCCATTATAAGTTGCAAAAATTTAGGGATAGAAAATTATGGTTTTGAGGCATGTCAAAAGTTTCTTTGCAAAATCAAGAAAATTTATCTGCTCAATTCAGTAACCATAAAATAACATTTTTATTATAAACATGTGGAAATATTTTTGTATAAAATGCTTAATTTGAATCTTACAAATTTGTGAGTTAAATAAAAACAACAAACATAATGATCTTATTATTGTTCTTTTTTAACATCTTTAAAAAGTGTCAACTTGTCATGTCCTTCATAATCCCTTTAACCCGTCTGATACTTTTTTAATCCCTTTAATTTTCCAAATCCTTCATAATTCCTTTAACTTGGAATATCCTTCATAATCCATTTATCTTGTCAAATCCTTCATAATCCCTTTAACTTGTCAAATCCTTCATAATCCATTTAACTTGATATTTCCTTCATAATCCATTTATCTTGTCAAATCCTTCATAATCCCTTTATCTTGTCAAATCCTTCATAATCCCTTTAACTTGATATTTCCTTCAAAATTCCATTATCTTTTCAAATTCTTCATAATCCCTTTATCTTGTCATATCCTTCATAATCCCTTTATCTTGTCATATCTTTTATCATTCCTTTAACTTGTCATATACTTCCTATTCCATTTATCTTGGCCTGTTCTTCGTAATCTTTTTACTTATCATATCCTTCCTATTCCATTTAACGTGATATATCCCTTAACTTGACACATCCTTCATAATCCCTTTAACTTGACATATCCTTCATTATCCCTTTAACTTGACATATCCTTCATAATCCCTTTAACTTGACATATCCTTCATAATCCCTTTAACTTGACATATCCTTCATAATCCCTTTAACTTGACATATCCTTCATAATCCCATTAACTTGACATATCCTTCATAATCCCTTTAACTTGACATATCCTTCATTATCCCTTTAACTTGGCATATCCTTCCTAAATCCTTTATCTTGGCCTATCCTTCATAATCATTTTAACATGACATATCCTTCATTTCCTTTAACTTGTCATATCCTTCCTATTCCCTCTATACCTTGAAATATCCTTCATAATCCCTTTAACTGGGCATATCCTTCATAATCAATTTATCTTGTCATATCCTTCATAATTCCCTTCTATTGTCATATCCTTCCTATTCTCTTTACATTGACATATCCTTCATAATTCCTTTTACTCGGCATATCATTCATAATCCTTATAACTCGACATATCATTCATAATCTCTTTAACATGACATATCATTCATAATACCTTTAACATGACATATCATTCATAATCCCTTTAACATTACATATCATTCATAGTTCCTTTAACATGACATATCATTCATAATCCCTTTAACAGACCATATCATTCATAATCCCTTTAACATGACATATCATTCATAATACCTTTAACATGACATATCATTCATAATCATCCCTTTAACATTACATATAATTCATAATTCCTTTAACATGACATATCATTCATAATCCCTTTAACATTACATATCATTCATAATTTCTTTAACATGACATATCATTCATAATCCCTTTAACTTGACATATCATTCATAATCCCTTTAACAAGCCATATCATTCATAATCCCTTTAACATTACATATCATTCATAATCCCTTTAACATGACATATCATTCATAATTCCTTTAACATGACATATCATTCATAATCCCTTTAACTTGTCATACCCATCATAATTCCTTTATCTTGACCTATCCTTCATAATCCTTTTAACATGACTTATTCTTTATAATCCCTTTAACTTGTCATATACATCCTATTCCCTTTAATTTGATATATCCTTCATAATCCATTAAGCTTGACATATCCTTTATAATCCTTTTAACTTGTCATATCCTTCCTATCCCCTTTACCTAGACATATCCTTCATAATCCCTTTGACATATCATTCATAATCCCTTTAACAGGCCATATCATTCATAATCCCTTTAACATGACATATCATTCATAATACCTTTAACATGACATATCATTCATAATCCCTTTAACATTACATATCATTCATAATTTCTTTAACATGACAAATCATTCATAATCCCTTTAACTTGACATATCATTCATAATCCCTTTAACTTGTCATACCCATCATAATTCCTTTATCTTGACCTATCCTAAAATGAAAAAAATACTCTAACTTTTAATATTCAACATAAAATTAATGAGTTTAGTCTATTTTTAGTCCATTGGATCCTTAAATATCCCTGAAAGCAGATTTCTTTTTATTGGTCGTGATACTTCAGTTGTACACAACTGAACCTACAGAGTATCGTTGAACGAAAGTCTCAAGGAGATATTCAATATCTTCTTGGAAAGTCCCAAGTTTCCTTTTTAGGGTTTATTATACAATTGTGTAGATTTACATCAAGAAGTATAAGATAAAGAGAGAATATAAAACTAACCGGGAAAAATAATATTTCTTAACAAATAGTTTGATATTTACAAACTTGCCTAACCCCATTCGTGAAAACCAGTTTCATGTCTGTCTTAAGTTTTGGGCTCTGTGGAAAATACGTCTAGCCTTTCATAGATATCTTTACTCCCTTATTTAAATTTAATAGTCCTTATTACTGCACAAATTATACATTATGTCAATAGAAGACTATGTTTACGAAAAAAAACAGAATACATAATTCAGATTTTCCAAAGTCACATTCTTTGAGGGTAACCCTGTATTTTACTCCTTTATCTAGAGTTTCTAACAAAACTGTTTCACATTCCTAATCAAAATTCAATTTTCCCCTAAGTAAAGAATTTAAACAAAATAAATTCCCAAATTTCTTTTTATTTTCATTAAAATTTACATTTTACAAACTTTAATAATCAACATGGAATTAGAGGGGGAAAAAATATGGTTATAAAGTGGCCATTGATCCGAAGAGGGCTATGACGTTAACTTAAATCTAATCAATAATGTGGAAGATGTCGTTGTGTTTCTTGATTAAAATGTGTTAAATTCTATACATTTCCTCCACATTGTTCCTGAATTCTCAAATTATTCTTATATAGTGGAACAAAAATTAAAAATAATCAATTTTCCAAAAGAAAAAGATAAAGAATTTAAGCCAGGTCTAAACCTGGCTGAACTGGTCCGGTTCGAATTTGAACCATCTTTTTATTGGAATTTTTATATATTTTTTAACTTGTTATTATGTTTACTGCAGAAAAATATTTATGATTTTATTTTATTTGATTTGATTTAAACTTTGAATCAACGGTTCAAAATTGAACTGGCAGTAAGTAGTTTAGCCAGGTTTAGACCTGGCTCAAATTCTTAAAATTGGGTCTCATTCTGTAATTTCTATGCTATTGAAAGGAGTTTTATGAGATTTTTCCTAAGATTTTACTCAACATTTTATGAGATTCTATTTTGCGAAGAGCATATTTTGACCAATGAAAGTCTATTTTCACAAATCTAGACACATTTGTAAATAAATTGGAAAAAAATAACATCATTTATACAATGTACTCTTGAAAGAATTTAATTTTTGGTAAAAAAACTGAAAAAAAATTTAATTCTCTACTAAAAATGCGTATTTTTGAATGACATCTCTCGAAGAACTGATTACTCTAATTTTCTAATCTCGCTATCTTTGCAACCTGATGATGTTAACTTTAGATATTTTAAATTTTGACTATTTGATCTCTAGAAGATTTTAAAGTTCGAATTACTAAGGTTGCAAAAAGATAAGGATTAGAAAATTTTATATTAATGGAAGTAAATTAATTTTGAAAAAATTTTGAATATATAAAGTTAAGTTCATCATGTTTCGCAAATCTTTAAATGCGACAACATTTTTTCCAGTTTGTTTAATTTTGTTTTTGAATGTCAAAAAAGTGATTAGATAATTTGGCCCTGCTATTATTGCGTCTTTTACTTAAGATTTTTGAATAAATTTGTTGATAAATACAGGTTTACCCACATAGGTTGAGACTTCTGAGACGACTGTGCAGAATTTATACTGTCTGTTTCCTTAAATTTTTTATTCTCTGTAACTGTAAACTTGTTTCTTCTTTGCCTTATCATGGAATGAGCCACAACATCTCTATTTATGTCATTGTAATGGGTATTATTAAGTGCGTGTGAAAATACCGGAAAAAACTTTTTCGCAGGCATGATACCCAACAATAGCATATATAGTTTTATTCAATTTTACTCAAATTCTTTAAAAGCAGGTCGATAAAGTTACTTAATCATCCTGTTGTAGGGTGATTAAGTAACTTTATCACCCTACAATGAGAAAAATTAAATATGAAATTTTAAATTCTAATAGCAGGGTGAAAAAGTTACTTTTTCGCCCTATTGTAGGCCGATAAAGTCACTTAATCACCCTACAACGGGAAATATTAGGTGTGATAAATTCCATCAAAATTGAATTAGATTGTTTTCAAAGAAGACGACTTAGTTAAGCCCTGGAATTGCCAGATTTAAAGAGTTTTAGGTCGTCCTTAAAGTCCCATCCTTTGTGTGTAACTCTCTATTTCAAATATAAATACATTTTTGAACAATTTTTTTTTTATATTCAGTGAACGATTAACAAATGAACTAGATTAGAAATTGAGTTTCTGCTTGTAATCCTTCCTCTAAACCATCCTGAACAAAAATACATAATTATCATCTATATCAGTTGATCTTCTTATAACATCATCATCTATATATATCGTATATCATATATATATATCATCTATATAAGGAAGGAACTGTAGAAAATATTTTTAAAGTCTTATAATTTTCATTTTGTGGGGTTCTCTTCTATTAAAGAAATTTGCGGATTTCTTGTATCAGAGCCAATGGAGGATATTGTCAGAACTTTTAAAGCTAGACAAACAACTCTATCTTCCATATTATTGATCAGATAAAGGGTTTATGGCCGGGTACCGTCTTGAATCGGACATTCCTATCTTATTTTTAAAGGGACCGTTCACTTATTTGGGTAATTTCAGGGTAAACTAAACAGCCTATTCGCTGTTGATTGATAATAGTCTTACTTTTCAAAGACAACTGAGGCCGGAGAAAAAGCCGAAATTTGAGCGGAAAGGGACGGCCCCTCTCTATAGGTAATAATAATTAAGTTATATTATTGATATTCCAGGTCAAAATTGTGTACGATATAGATTACAGGGTGTCCTAGGAAGCATGGAAATTAAGAGTCGACATATAAATAGTCTTTTGATCCAATTACGCATCAGTCGTAAATTTGATACACTGGGATTTCCAAAATTTGATCTGTCTAATTTTTTACCCTCGACAATTGATTGAGTTGCAGTAGAAAAGACAAGTTCAATTTCGTCACTTAATTTCTATGTTTTTAGGGACACCCTGTGGAAGTATACTATATAAAATGAGAAAGGAAGGATGTTAATATACAAATGAAATGCATAAATTCACAACCTCAAGATAATATATGTAAAATAGAAATAAAGAATTCTAAATTATATTTCAGTTTCCGACCGTAAAATTTGTTAAAGATAAAAAATTAAAAGAAATTTGAAATAAGTGAATTCAGTTTTTTTGACAGTTTTTTATGTCAGCGCTTTAATACTTAAAGCATACGAAAGAACCCCAATCTAAAAGTTGCAAGATCTGAGCCGGTACAACATGTACTACGTATATGCATTCAATCGTACTGTCCAGTCTGGCTACTCAGTGTAGAGTTGACCCAGCACGTTTTATGCAACAAATGTTACCTTGCAAGGTTACAGTGGCAGATCTCTGTAGAATCCCGATGTGAATCGATTATATCACTTTCAATGGAAAAATATCAAATGAAAGATACTTTCCTCGGAATCCGTTGAATCCTCATCCTCGTCCTCATCCTCGTCCTCATCTGAAGATTCGTCCTCGGACCAGTGGTCTGTCCTCTCCTACAGGTTCCAAGTATTAAAATAAAAACTTTACGCTTAAAGGGACTGTTCACGTAGTTTCTAGTGACTCTCCACTTCAAGAGACTGTTCACGTAGTTTCTAGTGACTCTCCACTTAAAGAGACTGTTCACGTAGTTTCTAGTGACTCTCCACTTAAAGGAAATGTCTCAAGCGACCCTTCAAGCAAATATGTCAATGACCGACTCACAACGGTTCCCTTGAATCTGATCAATTATGTGGATATTATCGTTTTTCTAGGCTTAAAAGTGTTTGTTTCTGATAATTCCTGTATGTTTTTCTTCAATATAAATGCGTAAGTGACGTTTGCAGAGGAAGCACAATTGAAAACAATCAGTTTTCAAAATTATAAATATTGATATCTACTCGTTGTGAATTGGGCATGGACATCTTTACATGAAGGAGCACAATAACTTACGCTTACAGTCTCTTTAAAGAGTTGATTTGGAACCTTTAACTGAGTTACGATGAAGAAGATAACGGTTGGTTTTTTACTAAAATTGATAATTCGGTAAACATAATCTCTTTCCGTTAAATAAAAGAAGAAAATCAATTTTCAAAATATGAAAACAAGGATTTCTCCATCAGACGAAGGTTTAAAAAGTATCTGTTGTGATTCAGACATTCGAGACCAAGAAATATTACATTTTAAAACTTCTCTTTGTAATTTTCAAAATCTTTTGGAAACCAATCATTCTTCTGTGTCAGTGTATTTGAATGATGTTGTTATAAAGCAAATATTTAGTTTTAACAATAGCTTTAAAATCAACTTATTAAATTAAAAGGGTCTGTTTGCATTGCACAATTGTTGTGTTTTATGTTCATTGAACTATTTAAAATATGAAAATCAAGTCGTCTTCCTTTTCCACACAGTTTTATGGGTGTCAAACATGTAGAATTTTAGTTTTATATTGAGAAAATGGTCTTGATTTTTATGCTTCATTTCAAAATTTTCCAATATTTATTTTATTATATAATCTCTCGTAAAGGTTTTACTATTATGACAGACATCAAATTTCAAGGCCTTAGTTTCTGGAGAATATATTTCCTTTATGTTTTAAAACTGGAGGGGGGAGGGTGGGAGAGGGGGAAGGACGAGATGGGAGGAGAAAGATTCGGGTTCAACTAAAATATTAATACATAGACTCATCCTCATCCAGCCGGGTTAATCTAGAATATTCATCCCTGATGTCCCTGCATGTTTTATTCTTTTTTAAATAATTTGTCCGGTAGAATATATGAATGGGTGACTGACACACAACAAAATTGATTTCCTAATTTATAAATAGTAGCTTGAGAACCCAGCAAAGCCACAAGCTAAGAGAATCCCCGTAGTTCTCCCAATTTCCCGGGGTAAATTCAGGACACTTCCTGCACGTTGTTACTTCCTTGTATACTTTCAGTGATAGTTTTTGACATAATATTTTACTCAAATAGATTCTAGTACTTGATAATCTATTTGATTTTACTCGTTTTTAAATTTGAATCTTCCTTATGTATATTTAGACTGTCCTCATCCGGGAATCTTTGGCGACAAAAACTGCACCTAATATAATATGATAAAGTTTTATTAACAAATCAATCTTTTTTCGATCACTACTTTATATGCTCAATTTCCCTAAGGCATTGATTAAAGCTAGCAAAGGGCAAAGTATACTTTAAAAACGGCTTCCACTTTCTCGAAAAAGAACTATATTCTGTAATCAAGAGTGTTGATATTTTCGTGATCTTTCTTTATTTTTAACATAATATAAACTTGTCAAATCGCAAATGAGTCGAATTTGGAAGAAAGTTTTTATATTTTTTGCTGTTTGTTTGCCAATTTGATTCTCTCTTGATATATTTTTAAATACCAAATCAAACTCAAAACCTGAATTTGTAACGTCTGTCTCAAATTTCTTAATCCCACGAGGTTATTTGTCTTCATGAAGTTTTCATGCTAAACTGTTATTTCAATAAAGGGACTGTGTAAGATATTGGTTTAATGAATAAAGGGACTGTGTAAGATATTGGTCTAATGAATAAAGGGACTGTGAAAGATATTGGTTTAATGAATAAAGGGACTGTGTAAGATATTGGTTTAATGAATAAAGGGACTGTATAAGATATTGGTTTAATGAATAAAGGGACTGTGTAAAATATTGGTCTAATGAATAAAGGGACTTTGCAAGATATTGGTCTAATGATTAAAGGGACTGTGTAAGATATTGGTTTAATGAGTAAAGGGACTGTGCAAGATATTGGTCTAATGAATAAAGGGACTGTATAAGATATTGGTCTAATGAATAAAGACTGTGTAAGATATTGGTCTAATGAATAAAGGGACTGTGTAAGATATTGATGAATAAAGGGACTGTGTAAGATATTGGTTTAATGAATAAAGGGACTGTGTAAGATATTGGTTTAATGAATAAAGGGACTAAGTAAGATATTGGTTTAATGAATAATTAAAGAGACTGTGTAAGATATGGTTTAAAGAATAAAGGGACTGTGTAAGATATTAGTATCTGACCCCCAGTGTTGAAAGTATAAACGATGATCTTCAAGGGATTGATGAGAAACAAACCATTCCTCACACACACCACACTCCCAGTCATCCTCATCCTCATCCAGCCGGGTTAATCTAGAAAATTCATCCATATATATACTCATCCTCATCCTCATCCAGCCGGGTTAATCTAGAATATTCATCCATTCATATACTCATCCTCATCCTCATCCAGCCTGGATAATCTAGAATATTCATCCATAGATATACTCATCCTCATCCTCATCCAGCCTGGATAATCTAGAATATTCATCTATATATATGTTCATCCTCATCCTCATCCAGCCGGGTTAATCTAGAATATTCATCCATTCATATACTCATCCTAATCCTCATCCAGTCGGGTTAAACTAAAATATTAATACATAGACTCATCCTCATCCAGCCGGGTTAATCTAGAATATTCATCCCTGATGTCCCTGCATGTTTTATTCTTTTTTAAATAATTTGTCCGGTAGAATATATGAATGGGTGACTGACACACAACANTCTTCTTTCAATCTCAATTTTTCCCGGATTTGATTTTTCTCCTGATAAATGTATAGAATCCAGCCTATCCTTCTATAATCTAGAATCTAATCTATCATTCTTAAAGTAGACATCTTCTAAATATGTTCTCTCTCTTTGTAACTTGGTGTACTATTGTTAGAAAGAAATAGTTCAATCATCGGAATGATTTTGAACTGATTTTCTTTTGTTATCAAAGTTGCAAAGCACTTGTTTATACATAGTTTTATTTCTTTAGAAGTAGTTCGCAAAATCTACCTTTCAACATTCTTTGATCCCAGTCTCATGGGGATTTAAACAATCGGTAATAGATATTAAATGTTATGAATAGTGTTGAAATACCACCATAACCACCATCTGACTGGTTGAACAAGTTTTCTGTGATCTGATTGGTTGACATAGTTTTCTGTAATTTGATTGGTTGAAGAAGACTGTCCTAACCAGTTTTACCTGGCTGAGATACTGTTGACCTGTTCCCGGCCCTGCTCTATACAACGAATAAAAGAGCTGGGTACAAAAGCAGGGTCAACCTATGTAACAAATCGTATTCATCTGTTAAAAATATACTTACTCATTGTAGCACTAGTAAAATGAGAGTGTATGCATTCCCAACAGTGCTATGCTGACAAAAATGCTGTGGCATGGAAGACCGAACAGTGGCTCATGACGGAAGACAATAAAGCTAATATGGGGCATGGAAGGAAAACTATATGTGGCTCATGGCGGCCTGCCTTCCCCTACTCTGGATAGCACTGGTGAGAATGCGTATACATTCTCATCTGCTTGGTGTTACAATTTATAGAAATAGTAATTAGTGTAATTGTAATATACTGGGTCCCATGCACATCATATTGGATTAAATAAAAAACTCGTCATCCATGGAATAAGAGCAAACCCAGTCTCTAGAATGAAGGCTTTCAGAATATTTCATGTGCGTTCCCCTTTTTTAAGTTTATAATGCTACTTTTGCCATCAACATTTTTATTGCGCACATTTAAACATAAAAAAACGAGTCTTTCAATGTCGTCGTCACTTCAAGCAAGCGACGTTTTTTAAAAGGGACATATCCAAGGAGTATGGATAGAAGGGAGATACAACTGACGCGGTCCGCCCTACCATATCATTATTTGCAGACGGTACTTCATTTGTATAAGAAATATTCAGAATAGGTTATTGTATACGCGGTAATTGTACTGGGCCAAAAAGGGAAGGGGGGTGAAGAATATGGGGGGAAAATGGAGGGGTCTGATATCGGGTTTCAACATATTTTAAAAAAATTCCTTTTTAAAATTTTGTAGCGTCGAAATCAACGCATTCGACGGGGTCTGCGTAAAATCTACGCTATCTGGTCTAGTCGGGAATACAAAAATCATAATAAGCATAGGCAAAATCTGTGTTTTTTGTACAGTAAATCCCAGATATATGAATAAATAGACCGTCATAAGTTTTTTGATAATTCTAAAAAAACTTCTTTTTATTTTAATTCAGAATAAATTAAAAGCCCTGAAATATGCATGCAATAGATACATCATTTTCCGCGGTATTTGATCTTAATTTTGATCTTATGTACTACCATTTGATCTTACGTACTACCATTTGATCTTACTTACTACAACTTTATAACAAACTCTTTTTAATAATTATTTTTTTCTCCAGATATCTAACTCATTGCTACTCAGATAAAAGTTTAAAGGATACCGCTGTGAATTGGACATGCAGCTGTGCAGTCTCATAACGAAACTAAGAACAGAAATGAAAAATGTTTTTAAAATTAACTTTTTTCAAAACAACTTTAAAGAAAAATAGCTTATAAGGATGAAAAGGGCGTTGCATGGGTGTGGGGGAAGATGGTGTGATTTTAATCAGTATATTCTAAACATCTTGTATCAAAAAGAAAAATTATTGAAACTTCCATGGAACGTTGCAATAGATAATAATTAACTAAATTAAATGGATTTAATCTAATCTTGTAATAAATTTAATGAGATAATTAGTTTCCTTCAGCTTATAGAACTAATGAAGAAAAGATAAAATCAGGTCTATATATTGTGTAAAATAATTTGCCGATGTTTCCACAAGAACAATTATTTAGCAATTTTCTCGTTAATTAGTGCAAATTTCCGGTTAATGGCGACCTTTGAACTTAAGGAGTATGTTATGGTGCACCATTTTTACTGTTCATAATTTTTTCAAAATGAGCCAGTTTAGAGGAGAGATTGAATTCATTTTTGGGGAAAATTAGCAGTTTACAGTAAAGAGAAATCAACACTATTTTAATTTTAAAACTTTAATATAAAAATCTTTATATGCATATATTTTTTTTGGCATGACGGACGTGGCTGGAGTTTTGAAAATCGCAATTTCAATGCAGTAAATTTACAATTTAAAAACGTTATAATTGCCGGAAGACTCAAATGTTGCGGCATGGAAAACCGAACGGTTGTGGCTTATACTTTCAAACTAAAAGCTAAAAACTTCTGTTCACCGGAGACGTACTTTAAAGCAATCTACCCTCCATTTATAGAGCGGCATATCCAATTCACAAAGGTACAAATGTCAACCCGGAAAAATGGATTCTTTTCAATTGCAGATTTTTGTTTTTGAGACAATGGAGGAAAATGTCAGATTTAAAAAAGCCAAGCTAGAAATACGACGATATCTCCCACATTGTTGATCAGATTGATCAGATAAGATCATAATTTCTACTTTATCTATTCTCTACTCTGTGTGACGTATACCTTCTGGATAGAGATTGTTGACAAACACCCGGTGTACTGCAGATGTTTGTAAACACAAAGTGCAAGAGAGTTCAGAGCAAACCATTGAGAGCAGATCTGTGTTACCTAAATATTAAATCATTTACCCATAAAAATGTACAACTTAAGGGTACCATTGTGAATCGGACATGCCAATTTACTTGTGTAGAGTACAAAGTACAAGTGGAGAGTACAATGTACGGAGGGTACAATGTACAAGTTGAGGGTACAATGCACAAGTGGAGAGTACAATGTACAAGTGGAGGGTACAATGTACAAGTGGAGAGTACAATGCACAAGTGGAGGGTACAATGCACAAGTGGAGAGTACAATTTACAAGTGGAGAGTACAATGTACAAGTGGAGGGTACAATGTACAAGTGGAGAGTACAATGCACAAGTGGAGGGTACAATGTACAAGTGGAGAGTACAATGTACAATGTACAAGTGGATGGTACAATGCACAAGTGGAGAGTACAATGTACAAGTGGAGAGTATAATGTACAAGTGGAGGGTACAATGTACAAGTGGAGGGTACAATATACAAGTGGAGAGTACAATGCACAAGTGAAGGGTACAATGTAAAAGTGGAGAGTACAATGTACAAGTGGAGAGTACAATGCACAAGTTGAGGGTACAAAGTGGAGAGTACAATGCCCAATTGCAGGGTACAATGTACAAGTGGAGAGTACAATGTACAAGTGAAGAGTACAATGTACAAGTGTTTAAGGTTTATTTATTGCCCTTTTTAAAAGTACCAATGCTAGAGAGAGCACTGAAAAATGAATATTATTTTCCATCTTATTGAAAACTGTTTTTTTATCATTAGAAAACATATTTATTCTTCTATTTACTTAGGTTTTCCTCAGAACATCAAACACCCCACTTCACACAACCACGGCAAACTAAAGTTGACTGCACTGCATTATATGAAAGGGGGCTAACGTCGAAAAATATTTGACGATTATTTGGCCGCTAGATGTCTATGCTCTCGATGCTTCTGGAGTTCCACGCTGAAAGAAACTCCAATGACACCTAGCGACAAAAAATCGTCGTTTAAAGTATACTTAATACGAATACGTCGGAAAAAAATTGATGATTATAGGTTGTATCATCTGAACTAAAGGAGCAATGAGGTCACAAAGTCGTAGCACTAAAGGCAAATAAATTTCCCTTTTGTCTCCCGGTTAGTTTGCAGTGTAATGAATAAAAAAAAATTACCCTAATTCTTACATGTGGGTTTATTTCATGATCAAAGAGATAGTCCAGGGGCGTACGAGGGAGGGGCGTACGAGGGAGGGGCTCCCTCCCTTTAAAATACTTTAAATCTCACTTTAAAACCTTTATTAAAAAGCTTTAATCAATACTGCCTTCAGTGTAAATATACATTTGATATCATTATTTATAATATGGATCCTTCCTATGAAAATAATGATATATTTGAAGTAAAGTTTCCATCTCTAATTTTCACCCCTTGAAGCTTACGCCATCACAGTATTAAAAGAAAGTGTGTGATGAGTCCACTTAAGAAAATTATATAAATAATTTATTAACACTCGTAATATGGAAGTGTGTATATGATCGAATAGTTGACATAGTTAAAAAATGTATTAATATTATTTCAAAAAAGGCTTTTTTAAGGGGAGGGGGCAAAATGTTGCCAAGGGGGGCACAACAACAAAAAGTATTTTCTGACGCGCTATTTTATGATCATAATAAATAATAAATAAGTATGAACGGCCATTTTATTGCAGAAATATTGTCTTGAGTACAAAAATCATTATCTAGGAAATGAAAATATCCATTGTCTTGAAAAACGGTGAGAACCATAACACTCTGGAATAAGAAGACGACTTTTAGACTCAACACAGCAATTGTTCAGTGTCAACAGACCATTTTCACAAGTTATGACCTTAAATAGTCAAATGAACATGAGACATATCAATTGCTCAGTGTAAAAAGTAAAAAGACCCATTTCACATAATAAGTGATTTAATAAGTTACTTTTAAAACTATTTGCTTTGTAACAACTTCAAGTATGCTAAATTATTGCTTTAATGTTGTCTTCCTATTCCACAGTTTTCTGGTTGACACGGTTTTTTAGTTTTCAAAATAACTTTTTTTAAAAGATTACCCACATAACATTAAAAAACATACAACAATATAATTTACAAGACTTTGGCAGAAAAGGTCTCAACAGGAAAAGTGTTAACATATTGCAAAATGTTCGTCTTGGTGCGCTCTTTCAATATAGAAAAATAAAGTTACAACACGGGCAGCCGTAGTACATTTGAATTTCCGAGCCAGGTCAACCTTTCCGGTCCCAGTTTGTACTGTAACTAGCTCTATGGACAGGACTAGCCGGTGCAACAAGGTTGACGCGGTCAGACTTTATGCTTCAATAGGTTGAATTTACTTTTACTGAAGGGGTAGAGGTGTGTGACAAAGGATTTTTTTATCTCAAAGATCACAAATTAGTCATGAAGCAGGATTACTGTATTTTTCATTCCTGTTAAAAATTGCGAAAAAAATATATAAAAAATATCAAATAGTTGTTTTATCTTATTCTAAAGAATTTCTTAAGTTAAAGAGCTGATGCTATTTTGTAGCAAATTAATAAACTATGAAATAAAACAAGACACTCGTATATATATGTTCCCCATGGCCGGCCAAATGGGCGAACATTTTTTGAGGGAACTCAGGGGTAGCCTGGGGGTGATATAGGCTAAAAACATTTTTTTTTCTTTCTGTTTTCCACGGGCAATGCCGTGCCCTTCAGCTAGTATAATGAATAAAGTAAGAGATAATGCTTAGGAAAAATGGCTGAAACATTTAATTTTTGAAATTGTGCGATTTCAGAAAATGCCAAATACTGTTGAGCTTGAAAGGAAAGCAAAGTTCAAAGCATATGAATTTAATTGAAAAATGTGTCGCTCCACATATTTGAGGTCTATCTATCTTATTTATATGGAAACATCGTTCCAGGGTCGGATGTTTTAACACGTTAACATGCAAGAGCCTCAGCAGGAATTTTTCCAGAAAGGGGGGGGGGTGGTTTAACCTTTAATTTATTGGGTCTTAGTACCGAACTGGTAACCAAAGTTTTAACCCAAGGGATTACCTATCCATGGCGGCCGAATTGTAAGGAGGTCATCCTTGAACCCCTCCCCCCCCCCGCCCTCCATCTGTATACGCCACTGTCTACATTCTTTTACGTTATTTAATGAATCAAGCTAGAAGCACTTATATCGTTTAAAAAAATGCTAGAGGCACTTCTATCGTTTCTATCGTTTATGAATCAAGCTGCAGGCACTTTTATCGTTTCTGAATCAAGCTTTGAGGCACTTCTATCGTTTACTTTTTTGACAAAATTTTAGTTTACAGTGACGATAGTTAACGAAGGCACGAACGAAATGATAAAAACTACTTTTTCGTTTTATGAATAAAAAACTAGTATTTCAAAACCGATTGTTTTGAAAACGATCGTTTCGGTTTTAATTTGTTCTAGGTCGTTAACGATCAGTTCGTCTTTTAGAAAAGTAAAAAAGATCCATTCCATATACGTCCTATAGTCATAAGCATACTTAAATATTAGACAAAAATAGATCACTTAAAGTTTAAAAAAATATTTTTCTATATTCCCTTTAAAGATATTCAGCAAGTAGGTGTGTGTACATAAAAGAAAAACTAATACGTTGCAATAATATTATAGAAAACATCTCAAGCATGTTAAGAACTCAAATTTAAAAAAGAAATTAAATACTAATTGGAAGAATAATTGAAAATATTTAAAACTTATTGGAATTTCAATAGATTTTAAGTTGACGAATTCAAGTTGAATTTAAGATTTAATGAAATCCTTTATCATCCTTATAATTCTTTAAATTAAATCATTATTATAAATTATTATTCCAATCTGTTTCAATCAGGGAATACGTATGAGGGAAAGGGAACTGGTACCGGTCCGATTGAGAAAGCCATCTCACATGAGGGGGGGGCTATGGGGGCTCAGCCCCACCCCCTTCTGGATCAGTATAATCTGTGGTTTCTTGGGGGGTTTCAGGCCTCAACGGGTGCTGAGTCCAACCTGGACAAATTTCTGTGTGCGCTCCTGAGCACATGCACAAAAGATACTCGTGTGAACCATACCCTCCGTCCACTTTCCAAACCAAACATTTCCAAGGCTTCCGCGTAAATATAAACAAAAACCTCATGGAGCTAATAAAACTTAAAGTGCATTAAAAGAACCGATTTAAACATAATTTCAGTGAATCATTTACAAATAAACAGTGAAATTACTTTAACCAGATAAATATTTATTTCAGAAGAATTAAATTGCCTTAGACTTCAATTCAAACAACTTTTCGCCGTGCCACAGGAGGGAGGGAGTCCAGAGTTCCTCAAATAGTAATCACCGCCACCCAAATCTGTTTTGCGGCAAGCGCGCTCCTCAATTGGTAATCTCCACCACCTCAATTAGTAATCACCGTAAAATTTTGTCTTCTGTGATTTGAATTTAATGCACTTTTAACACAATATTCGACATCTATCGGGGTTTTATGGCATCTGTATTGACTTAAACTAAATTTTCAAATTATTTTCAGATTTGTTTGGTCAACAAAAACTGAGAATCAAGGCACAGTTCATTTTAGCCGAATCTTAGATCCAATTCGCCACTTTAATGACTGCATTTCATGATTGGCGTCAAGATACAAAAAAGGTCGGGCTGCCTGTTTACTAAAAA